TAGACATTGACTTCGGCACTATGCATAGCTGTTTGGGTTTTGGTTATTAATATTAAAGCTAAAAATAATATTAAAGTTGCTTTTGTAGTTTAATTTTACTTTATCTGTAAGCTTCCACGTGTTCGCTTTGAATATTACACTTTTGATTGGTGTTGTTTGTGTGGTTGGTTGGTCTGGCTTTAGTTGTCTGAGACAGGGTCTCTCTATACAGCTCCAGCTGTCCGGGAACTCAATTTGTAGAACAGGCCACCCTTGGCCTCACATAGAGCCACCTGCCTCTACTCCTGAGTGCTGGAATTAAAGGTGCGTGCCACCATTGAGTGTTCTTAAAGAGACTCCATGGGTTTTGTTGACACGGTTTAATTCTGTTTACCAACCCCCACAGTGGTACAAACTAAGCCAACTTCCACTTACTGCTTCTGTTTCGTCACTGTTGGTGAGGGGTTGAGGGAGGTGCTGTGGTTTACCAGGGAGCTCTCTGCTGCCTGCTTCCTCCTCTTCAAGAGCTGTGAGGCACTCTCTCTGGCATGTGGCAGTTTGCACATATAATTGAACTAGAAATTAGTCAAAATGCCAGGACCAAATCTATAGCTAAAGGAGTTATTTTTTTTAAAACCACCTAGGCCTTTTTGCATGCCTAATTTTATTTGCTAAGCTATGTTAGCTATGTAGGGAAAGTTAAATATACTTTGTGGGAGTTGGGATAAAGCCTGCTCCTAGTTGAAGTTGTAATTAAATTAAAAAAAATCAAATCTAGAGAAACCACCCTTGGAGAAAAAAAGATGTTGTTTAAGTACTATGTTAGTGCTAAGAAATCTTTTCAGTAACTTCCCAAGGAAAAATAAAAAGTTTTAGCCCAATAAGCCTAGAAAGGTGTAAAGCTTTTGAGTTTCCAAAGACGGTTTAATTAAGAGTTAGCTGAAACCTGTTGCTGGTTGAAGCTGTAATTTAATTTCATATTTATGGAGTCATCCTCAGTAATGGATACATAGTGTTTTCTGGTTTTAGGGTTTTGGCAAGAATAAAAGTCTATGTATTACAGTAATCCATGAGTTTATTAGTGACGCATTTAGAGATTTGAGGAAATGTGGGGAGTGTAGAGATGGTTTGTGAAACCAGTGCATCTGTGTATGAAGATGTATATATGCGTGAAAGCATGCTACATGCATGTGGTATTGTGCAGATGTGCATTGTAAAACTACATTGTCTTACATGGATGGTAGAATTAGCCCTTAGGATTTATATGTAATTTCTTGAGTATTCAAGTTCAGTTACAGGGTAACTGACAGCATCAAAACCTTGATAACTATGCAGGATTCTAGCATTCCCCAAATTAAAAACACTCAAGTGAGTCGTAGCACATGGATGTGTGATAATGTGTCCATCTGTCACCAGTCCAATGAGTAGGTGACTTTGATATAATGACCCTGAAATAAAAGAGGTGGGAAGCACACTGTGATTATAGATCCCCCATGGGTTACGCCAGTGTGAGAAGGGTGTGTGTACTTCCACAGCAAGCTGCTGGCTCTCTGGAGCATGGCTGACTGAGATTCCTATTGGAGGTGGTAAGGAGGTGACAAGAATCTACTAGACTTAATATGTACAATACCATGTCCTATGTAAGAATAGAATTAAACTGAACAGTAGTTTCTGCCTTAATCTCAGCTTTTGGAGGCTGAGATAAAAAAAAAAATCATCCACAAGTTTGAGGCCAGCCTAGGCGACATAGTGAGTTCCAGGCTAGCTTGGGATTCAGAATGAGACCTTATCTCAAAAACAAAACAAAAACAAAAAGACTATAATAGTCACCCAAGAAGTGAGACATGGTTAAATAATTCATATATTATGTGTACTTTATATAGGATTGTGTACATGCTTATTTGAATAGGGAGTAGATTCTAAATTCAATTGAACATTAATGTATGCCTATCTGTACACATCTACCACTCGTGAGGTAAGGTGCATGATGGGAGACGTTTATAGAGTGTGTTGAAATTTATGTTGTAATGCAGTGGTACTCACATAGTACAGACTACAATGAACCATATTCAGCTAGGTCTCAGTAACTAGACTCCAAAACAGTTGGTGACTCGGGTCCTGGTATTGAGCCAGTACCAATATTATTTAAATCAATCCCAACAGGTCACAGGCCACACAATCTATTGCTTTAGTCTTCCCAGTCTCTCCCCGTCCTTACTTGTATAGAGAACCCCCTGCAGGTCAGGCAGATCCATGATTCATGCCTAACCAATGCCATCCAAGCCAGAGAGACCACTCCTGCTAGGCAGAGCCCACTGGTGCTCTTCCCTCATCCCTTCTCTAGGGATGACAAAGAAATCCTCTTTCTTGCCGCAGGTGTGCCTAAGCAGCAGGGGCTCCGAGTAACCTGGCTACCTTCCTGAACTTCCTTTACTATTGGCAACTTTCAGGTTCTGATCTGGTCACAGAGGAAAAAAAAAATACAAGTTTCAATAATTGAGTGCATAGCTGCTATTAAAAAAAGGGGGACGCTCAGAATGACTGAATTCCACAGAAAAACTGACAAAGAACACCACACGGGGGCAAGCTGTGTGAAGGTGTACGAAGGAAGACTGTGGAGACTTTCACTTTAGACAGTCACGATGGCCCAGGAATGAAGGATGACCAGTAGTGACGTGAACGTTACCCAGCCCACTGGTAGATTCTGGTGTGAGGGAGGCGATGTCAGCTTGGGAACGGCTCCTGTCATCAGTGTTTCGATAATAACACACCTGTGCTTTACCACTGTCCGTTTTCTGGGGGCTGGGGGGGGGATCAACTGTGAAGTTTATGTCAACAATTCTAAAATCCCAGGTGTATGAACATAAGCAAGGATTACCTTCATGGATGCACCCAGGAAGCAGGCCACTGGCATAATGCTGGCCAACCAGCAAGGCCCCAGCATATCTATTCCAGCAGCGGCTCCATGGCTTCTCCCTCACTCTGCCTCCTTTCTTTCAGCATTCAGTTTAGTTTTCCCCACCACTCTACCCTATCACAGGCCTGAGACAGTTTCTGTATTAACCAATGGTATTCACAGCCTACAAACGGGGGATCCCACATCACTTTTCACTTCATTTTATTTATTGATCTATTTATTTGTCTTTACTGGTCTCTTGCTTGTCTGTCTTTATGGGGCCATTTTTGTTTCGAAAGAGGAAAAGAATATACTGTTGGGTGGGTAGAAATGTGTGGAGAATCTGGAGTTGGGAGGGAGCAAAAACATCGAAACAAAACTGTGTGAAAACAATTTTAATTAAAAAAAGAACCTGGGGCTTATTGATTATTCAGCCAAGTCCCTAAACCAGCGGTTCTCAACTTTTCTAATGCTAACAACTCTTTAATATAGTTCCTTAGGTGGTGATTCTCAACCATAAAAATATTTTCATTGCTACTTCATAATTTTGCTATTATAAATCATAATATAAATATGGGGTATGCAACCCCTATCAAAGAGTAACTCCTTCCATGGGTTGAGAACCACAGCCCTAAACACTGCTCGTTTTCAAAATACTTTACTATTTGTTTAGTTGAATTTAAAATGTAAACAGGCCAACATAACCTGTTCATTTTATCATTTTCCATCTAGCTCTGTATATGAAATACTGCCTTCCTAGCTTTAATGTTATCTTTGTGTATGTCTGTTATTAGAGGTGAGAAAATTCTTTATACTAAATTATGTCTTCTTCCAGGGAAAAATTTTAGCAATTCTCAATATTTTGACATAACTTTACCAAGAAATAAGCCGGGCTTTTAATTCACGATCCAAGGATCACTTTCCCTATTTCATGGATGAAAAGAAGTATGTTTCACTTTTAGTTATGGGCAGAACAGATTGGACAATTGTATTCATATGCAAACAGCAAGACAGAAAATGTGTGCTGATCAGACTGGGAAATAAATAGGTTCCCCGTCTAGAAGGACAGCAACAAACGCTAAACCTACACACCAGAAAGTGAAAAGTCCACATCTTTTCTTGAATTATGACTCTTAATTCTTATTTTGCCACCAGATTTATAAAAACAATTAAAGTGATGTATATACCACCCCAAAGTCACACTGCTTATTAACGTGTGTATCTACTATCTGAACTACTCAACAAGACAGACCTTTCAACTGAGTGCATCCAAGGACTGCACTATCTTCACCACAGGTTTCTTCAGGCTCTCTAGTTACCTTGTTGTTCGTATTAACAAGTACATGTCAACTGTAACCTACCCCTCAGCTGAAATGAGTAACAAAACCCTACTGGTTTCTGTTTAAAATTAAAATGTCATAGTCACTTTTGAATTCCTTAATAGGCTTTCAAAGAGTAAAGTGGCAGAACAGCAGCTTATTTGAGAACAAAAACAAAAACCACAAGTGGATTTATTTCAGATCTCTGACGGCAATCTGGAATGGGCATTTATTTGCAGCTGTGATAGGAATATTGGGCAGACTCGCAGGGCAGAGTGGGAGGGGAGTGTGCAGATGCCCGCTCTATCTCAGCTCTTACAGAGCAGCACTGAGGGCACACAGGACAAATGGCCAGCTCTGGCCAATGTTCTCAGCAATCTCCACGACCTTGAGCAAACTTCCTAACTGCTCTGAGCTGCTTTCTCAAGAGTAACAGGCCAGCACGGGTGGCACACCAGCAAAGGCCCGAATGAGAAAGGTACAATGCTTCCCAACACTTCAGTCAGCTCACCAAAACCAAACCAAATCCCAGGAGCAAAGAATCAACAAGTTCAGGGAATATGAATCCTATTTAATCTTGTAGTTTCCCCTGAGAAGCCTGGCCCTAAATTAAAAATTAGAAAATCTAAATCAGTTCAAAAACAATCATACGGTGCTGTACTTCGTACAGTTCACTAAAGTCAGAACCAATAGTCATTCTTAGGAGAGGTGGTGCACAATTCATTCAGCTTCCCCAAGGTCACCTAAGTGAGATGAGATCACAAAGCTGACATAACATTATGAACAGGTAAAATTAAGAGTAGATATTGAAGTTTTAATGAGTCCACTTCCTTTATTGCAGTAACTTCTGTACAAAGCAGCAACTGCAATACTCAGGGTTAAAACATTACAAAAGCATTTGTGACAGGAACAGTACAGTATTATCAAAATATTACATTTTCAAACTTAGCAGATAATCATCCACCAGAGCTCAACTCTTTAAATTATTTCCATAGTCTTAAAAAAACACGCATGTAGAAAGCAATATGAAACGAGTGTAAAGGAAAACTTAAAGCACAAAGGAAACATTGCAACAAATAAATATTTGATTCAGTAACTGTTAATAATCAACACCAACATTCTCTGTGAACCCACAAATTCTTTACCCATCATAACAATGAGTTCAAATGCCACTGCATAATTATCTTCAAGTGATTATCACTGATTAGGACTAAAAAATAATTTGGCATCAAAAGAATCAAAATTCAGCATAAAATAAAAATAGCTTTAATACTAGCTAGCATCTCCAAGAATTGTTGAAACTTTTCATTTTAGAGTACTACCGCAACCTTGAAAATGTCTGACCTGGTATCTAGTGTTAAATGAATGTAATGTAGTTTTTAAAAGAGGAAAGCTTCTTACATTGTTTCACAAACAACGCTCCCTATTACGTGTACTGAGATCCATTTTATGTACTTTATACACAAATGTATGATGTATGACATTTAGTTTCTGTAGTACAGATCACAATCAAGTTTTCCTGAATGGGGAAAAACCTTTAAAAATAAAAGGCAAGTGTACCTGTGTTCATTTCAAGACAGCAGCAGTCAGCCTGGACCGTATTGTCCATTCAGAAAAATCATGCATGATATGGTTTATTGAATATGACACTTCTATATTGCCTCCAAACTCTGCAGAACTTGAAATAAATGGAACAATGTTGTATTATAATGTAGGGAAAAACCTTAGAAAAAAATCACTTAACTTCATTTTTTTTTTCATTTTCTGAATGGAAATGACCAGACATCCAGCTGGTATAAACGTAGGTCATATTCATGCAGCAGAAGTACTGCACCACTGAAAATGCTTTCCTAACACTTTGCTCAAGATGACGGAAACCTGCATGTTCTCCACTCCTGAAACTGATCACCTACTCAGCAGCACTGGATCTAACTGGATAACCACATGAAGCTACACTATGAGCTTCAAACTGTCTTGGTCCTCCATGAGACCTGTAACCCCTTGATCTGACTTCAATGTTTATTAAAACAAAACAAAAACCTGTCATCTACTGAGCTGTGGTCACTTTCAAGTTGGAGACACAAGTGACAGACACACAGACATGCATGTGCACCTGTGCGCGCACTGCACACACACAGACATGCATGTGCACCTGTGCGTGCACTGCACACACACATACAGACATGCATGTGCACCTGGTGCGGGCATTGCACACACACACACAGACATGAAGACACGAATCCCTTGAAATGTGTTCAGGAAATCCTTCCCTGGAAAATGAGAAACTTCACATTAAAAACTGTAGATAAAGCTTCAGGACAGCACATCACACTGTCAAGTGCTCGAGTAGGCGACAAGGTCAAACGCACAAACTGGCAGTTTTCTTTAACACAGAAGGTTTAAAGTATTAAGAATGGATTAAAATTCAATGCTCAGAATAATCTGTTCAAACCTGAGTGTATTAAGACTAAATGTACTTGACACTTGAATAAATTAAGCCTAAAACCATTTCCACTAAGAAAACAGTGGTCCATTTAACCATTGATAAAATTTTAAGTGATTTTTTTTTAAAAAATAAAGGATGGCATAGGCTAGTGAAACTCCTGTAGTGTTTATTGAAAATGTTCTAGTAAATGGCATTTCTTTGTCTAAATTTTCTCAAAAAACACCTGTCAGCATGTCTTAAAAGTCCCTCACATTTGAGAGGAATTCTCAATTAGAACACATCGTTTAAAAAATAATACAAATGATCTCAGATTTTGCTTGAAAAAGGACATGTGACTTTTCAGCATCATATAGGAAATACTGGGTAGATCCTCACCCTTCTCTAAGATTTACAAGAAATAATACGTAATTTCAATGGAATTAAAAATGGTGTTTTGGGCCTCTATTTCCTAGCTCTACATGTACACATACTCATAGAAACCTAAACTTGGGCTTCATTTTTTGGATACTTTCCCCCATATATTTTATTAGTTTGTTCTTAGTATCTAACAGATACTTTTACAAAAGTAATACAAAACACACAGTACTCAGAACTAACTGGTCAATGGAAGATGAAAGGAGTGTCTACTTAAAGTGACATTAGAAATAAAAATATCTGAAGGCAAAGTTTAACATTCTATAAATTTACAAAAGACAATAGATATATGGATGAAATTTGGTTAGTTTCAGAAGGCACCTCAAGGCTAAAGGCTTTTGTACTCCTTTCCTCACTCAAACAATAACACACTCTTATTGCTTTCAAGTAGCAAAGGACAACTTTACTCTCACGAACTTCAGTCCGACGGGAAAGACTACCCGGTCACTGAGACTGAGATGTGGAGTCCAGTAGAACTCAAGTCTACGTCTATCTACCAATGGAGCAACTTTTCCCTGTGCTTTCAAATAAAGAAGACTGAAACAAAGTCCCAGTTCACCAGTGTGATAGGAAGGTGTTACTGACGATTTCAGCGCTTTCGCTAGGCACTGAAGTACCATTCCTGGAGGGCAGTCCATGGTGCAGAATAATTAAGAATAGAAGGTAAGGACGCTCTGATGATTCCCACGAACTAAGAGGATTGGTGGCAGGTCTTTAGATAGAGCTTCTAACCAAGCCATATACAAAGCACTGGACACAGCACCTTTCCGTGCAACTGGGAGACTCCTAGGATCAGAATGAGAAGACAATGAGCAATGCTTTCAAGAAGAAAACGAAACAATCATTAATTAGATCCCAATTCCCATGATAAAATCTGAGTGGAGGGAAACTGCATATATACAACAGTAATTAGTATACATAGTCTCATTTCACTATCCTCAGATTCAATGGATTTTTCAAACATTTGTCCTTATTCATAAGTATTTCTGTGAACTTCAATATATGTCATTCATATTTATTATTAAAAATAATAACATATTATTATTCAATCAAATTTACTCTTCACTAAGGACAGGTTTCTTTAGAAGAAAAACATATTTGTATTAGAAATCAGACAGTGGAAGTTATAGATGAAAAGTGAAACATAATTAAATATGTGTCAAATTTAACTTTTCTTGTGAATTTTAATTTCTATTTATCAAGCTATTTATAGACCTATAAGGGTTTATAGAGGTATTCATAGACCTACAAGGATTCATTCTAAACTTCTATGGTTTAGTGTCTTTCACTATAAAACTCTACAAACCATCAGCACAAATTGAAAACATTGGGTTTGGAGTTACCCTAACAGTTCCTTAGCACCAAGGCATTTATTTCATCTTGGTTTCTGGGTGCCTGAGCTTTTCTTTTCTGTTTAGAGTCTCAGAACTGAAAAAAATCCAGGATCACATCATCTCTAATTAACATAGATCCGCAGAAAAAAGGCTGGGGTAGGCTCCAACACTTCTATCTAGTTCAGAGACAGCATGTCTGCATGGAAAACACTTGCAAGGGAAACATGGGGGTGGATTCAGGCAAAAACTGCTGTACCGGGTTAATATTCTAAACAACCTTTCACACTTATCTTTTTATGAGAAAGTTGCCTGGGGTCCAAATTCTACTGTGAGCCCCTCCTGTGCCACCCACACCTGTGGCCGTGCTAGGGAATTTTGAAAAGGTGAAAAAGAAATCAAAGAATATGAATGTAAAAGTTCAGAATAACCAACCCAAACAAACTACTCAGTACACAGTATCTCTTGTTCATGCATAAATGCTAGCTCCACATACTGAAGGCAACCACATTTTAAACTTTGAGTTTTCCTTTTTATAGATAATATCTTTTCAATACTCTGAGTACTTATTTACTGGGCCTTGTAGTACAGGACTGAAATTCCAGCACTTGGGAGGTAGAGGCAGAGTCAAGTTTAAGAACAGCCTAGGCTATAAATTAAAAACAAAACAAAAAAGCAAACCACCCAAGCTGTGACTGTTACTGTGGAACCAACCGCGTTCTGACTGGATCTGAGGCCTGCTCTAGAGGACGGAAATCACGGCTGGTCTTGTAATCAGTGTCAAAAGCTCCTGCCCAGGTTGTCATTGGCCCTAGGGGTTAACCTACTTCTATTGTTTTATTAAACAGTTAGGTAGACAAACTACCTTCTAAATACCCATATTTAGAAGTGCTGCCCTCAACTCTGTTAAAAAAAAAAAAAAGCTTCTCATAGAGGGCAATAGTTAATGCAGAGACTCATAACTTGTCAAAACACTGAGTAAGCGACTGAGTTCTTGGTCATGAATGGGCATCTCTTATCACACACGTGCCTTCCACTTCCAGCCAAGACTCAGAGTGCTGAGGAAGAAGACAGTAGGAGCCAGAGGGCAGGGAGGAAGTCTGTGAGAGGTTACTTTCTGGAAATGACAAGGCTCCTGTGCACATGAACGCACACTGATGTGGCTATCTGCACAGGTCAAAATTCCATCATGAACTGGGGAGGGGCTCCCAAGGCCCCAGCCCTATCTGAGAAGCTACTGGAAGTTAAAGGCTGCTTTGGGAGGGACAGTCTTCTTTGGGGGTTTGCTCACTGAGAGGTTGTCCCACATTCATACACATACGGCAGCACCAATTGGACGCAGTTTCTTATTTAAAAAACACAAAAAAAGGGACTGAAGGGATGCCATGGCAATTAAGAGCACACACTGCTCTTTGGAGGGCTCAGGTTCAACTCAGTGCCTACACAAGGGAGCTCACAACTGTAAACCAGCTCCAAGGACTCTGGAGACTCTGGCCTTTCCAGGTATATGTATGCCACACTCATATCCCATAGAACCTGGAGCAGAACCTACTACCACGACTTTTCTAAACTAGTCAACTTCTAACTACATTTTAAGTCCTTATCCTTATGTGGCTCACTCATGAAGAAAGCTTTTTTGTAGCACACAGAAACCATTACAGACTACAACTGGTCACAATGCATAGAACAACTGACTTTGGAGCACTCAGCCCCACTTAATACATCCACAACCACAACCCCTATACCTAACTAAGGCTTGGGGAACATGACTAAAGAGGGGGCGGCAAGACTGTAAAAGCCAGAGGACCTGGATGTCTGCATTCTATATCAAAGGGAAGTTGTGACCATGAGATAAGACCTAAACAGTGACAACACAAGCTGACATGCCAACGTGCATAGGGGAAATGCTGTGAGGCATCACACGAGATGAAAAACTAAAGGCAATTAAGCAAATTAATTTAAAAATAATAATTAAGTAGATTAATTAAAAAAATCCAGGGATGAGTCCCCAGTTACAAAGGCTGACCCAATTATAAGTGGTCAGCCTTAAAAACATACATATGAGCAACACTGTGTATGTGCATATCAGTTTATTATAACAATAATTATTTAGTAACTTATAATAACTAAAGAAAAGTGACAAATATGAGAGGAAGAAAAATGAACAGAGGAATTGAGAGGAGAATGATGTAAATACATTACTCATGAAATCCTAAAAACTTTTCAAAAACCATTAAGTACTGTTACAATAGAGACACAGACACATGCACACACCTTCATGAAAATAGTCCAAACCTTATTCCAACAATACTTACATGACAATAATATTGGCTGTATTTGAGTGCTCCTTTAATAATTCATTTAACCTGATCTGCCGGTATGTCTGAAATGGAAAAGGACAGAATCATTCCTAAACATCTGACATTTAGAACTGTGAACAAAGGCAGACTGTAGTTCAGTAACCAGTGTGTAAGCCCAGGTAGCTATGTGCTAGATCTTCAGCACTACGAGAGAAAAAGGAGGCACAGGAAGGAGGAGGAACGGGAAGAGGAGGAGAAAGAAGAAACCACTATGGTTTGTAAAACAAGTAGCAAAAACAAATTTTGTATAAAAAAACACTATTTAGAAAAATATTTGACGCTGCTTCCTAGCTTCCCACCATTCAAATATAAAACACCCTTAATGGAGGTTTAGCTTACATAAGCATTTGCCTCTGTTTCAAATCACAGTGCTTGGTATAGCGAGTCTATGAAATCACATGTAAGATTAGTGAAAAGGAGACAGAGTGAAGAGTACCTTGGTCTTATAAAGCTCAAGCTCATTGTCTGTTATTCGCCAAGGCTCGTCTTCCTTCATTTTATCTGCAATGTCCTGTTCTTTGTCATCTTCATGAAGTCTGTATGGCTCAATCATGTCCTCAAAAGCAGTAATACTTGAAAAAATAGACAGGATACCGACAATTTTATTTTGAATTATATATCACAAATAACTTCAGGAGAAATTATAACTTGTTACAAACTTGTAATCATTTGTATCACTGGGTAAGAAAACAGTAATTTTCAGTCTCTCAGACTGCACAGCTAGAACTGCACAGGCGTTAATAAGGCTGGAGCTGAAGCTCACTCGTCAAGCTGTCTGCCCTCGCCTGTGTCAACCCTCAAACTAAAGAACGGCACACCAGCCAACGTGATTCCTGAGCGATACCTAAAACACAGCAAATCATTCCCAACTCAATGTAAAACATCATCTTTGCTCAGCTCTGTAACTCATTTAACACATGCCAAAAATTAGTTATTCCTGATAAAATGCATACAGACTGTAACTGCCTCTCTGTGCCATTTTCAGGAAGACTATTTATTCCAAGAGTAGAAAGTGTTTGAGTAAGAGACTCTTGACGGCCACTATTACTGGGAAACTCAGATTTTCACTATAAAAGTAAACAATGGAAGTAATACACATGTAAAGTTAGCATCAAATGCTTTTAGTGACTGTGGGCAAGAAACACCTGGAACATAAAACCTCTCTGCAATTTCTGGGGCACTAACAGTTTCCAGAAAGCATGTGAGAAGAGTGAACCCCTTCTGAAAACTCAGTTCTTTACAGCTTATTCAGTATCACTGGCCACCAATTACCACATGGTTTCACAGAACTCGGGGCAGAAAAGGCCCTGATAATCATTCCAAGTTAAATTATCTGTGTCTGCACATGCCAAAAGAGTTGGAAATTTATACAGAATAATTTATCCAGCAACTTACTTTTCTTTATTTGGTTTGGTGTTGATATCTCCCAGGACCATGATATCAGAGAAATCTATTCGGAATTTACTAAGTAAAGTAGCCATCCTATGACAAAAAAAAACACAAACCAGCATTCAGACATGCAAAGGATGTTAAGTATTTTTACTCTCTACATATGTGATAAGGTAACTTAAAGAGAAAGTCTATCAGTTGCTACACAAATGTCCTGAATTAACTGATATTCTCCATTAAAAGAAAGCACCGAAACTGCCTGAGTAGAGATGACTAAGTCTCTATCCCTGCCTACTATCTACAATGGTTAATCTTCACTCTCAACTGGACTGTATTTGAAATCACTTAGGAGACATACTTTCGCGTGTGTCACTGAGGAAATTTCCATAAAAACTGAGCAGTGTCTTCTGTTTCCTGACTGCAGACACAAAGAGTCTTTGACTGCTGCACACCACAGCCAGCATGCCTTCCCCATGCTGACTGTCTTCTGCAACCTAAGCCCTCACAAACACTCCCCTTTCCCACGCTGTCCCTCAGGCACTCAGTTACAGCAAGGAGAAAGTAACTACTACAGCCCAAAGGGCTGAGCCAGGGCTATCCATAATGCCATGTGACACCCAGCTTGATAAAAAGTAATTTTAATCAAGGCATATTGGAAGGATATATCTGATAACAAGCCTCTTTTAAGTTATTTTTGGGTTACTACCTATTGGATTTATGTTAAAATATCCCAAGGCCCAAAAAGAACTTAAGGCCAAACTGAAGATCCAGTTCATGAAAGAGTAGTTCATAGTGTTTGTCTTTGAAGAGGTCAGGGAAAGGAGTAAAACAAGCCTGGCCTTTGGCAAATACCTCGTTCAAGGTCTTGTATGAGGGGGGTCATGTCAACAAAAATCTGAAACACCCAAGAAAAGCAATCAATAAAACAAGATCCTATGTTTTATAAAATGACAGCTTTAGAAAGAAAAATATGAGAAATATGTCTTCCATAATTCCCTGTTGAAAATGAATACCTAATTGAATTCAGTATCTCTTAGTCCCAAACTGCTAAACATTACAGAGCCCACAGAACTAAATTTTAAGAAAGTGATGCAAGCGGCCTCACATGTTAACTGACTGAGGAAGGAAATGTGCAGGAGAGAGAAAGGAAATATGGTAAGGCCCAGCACTGGAGAACTAAACCGGGTTCAAGAAAGCCCAACATTTTGTTGTCTAAGTTTCCTCCAAGTTTGATATACTCCACCCTGCAAAGAAGCTCCTTAAGCAGGAAGGCAAACAATACAAAACAGTCTCAGAAAGTTCTGGAAACTGACCATATTCACTGGGCTCCTCCCTCCCAGAGATGCCAAGCTCCCAGGAAGAGGGTTAGACCAGAGTCACCGGCAAAGGGCACAAGGGCACTCTCCCACTGCGGGCAGTGCAGTGGCTGCAGGTTTCCAGCTTTCAGGAGCTGTCACCACGCTGGGGTGGGCCTTGGTAATGCGACTGTCTTCGAGTCTTATCTGCTCCTAAGAACCCCTCAACCATACTCCTGTAAGTATTCCCAATAAAACTCAGTGTTTCACCAGGTAGGACTTTGGGAGTGTCCGCGTGGTCTTGTCATGCGCTCCTGAGCTGGGGTGAGTAGATGTGTATGTTGTGTCTCCCCAGGAAAAGTCTCGCAGTACAACACATTTACACAGATGAATGAGGCAAAGGAAGAGCTATGTGTATAAGAAAGAGATAGAACAGGTAGACCAAAAATGCCTGAAATCCCCCAAATGTAGACAGCATGTAGGGGTGGGGACAAGAGAGAAAGGGAAGAGACAGACTGTCAGAAACCTTTCTTTATGCCACACGGCTGCACTCACATGAGGAGGCTACAGGACTGTGGGAGGATCATTCACAACTCTCAGACTTTCTACGTGAAAGTGGGAACAATGTGTGCAGTACCCTGCAGGGACAAGGCCAGGAGAGGAGCACCAGAATTGAGACTCATGGCAGTACAGATGGCAATAGTATGCTAATGTCTTCAAAGCCATACAATTTCTCTACATATGAAAAGGCAATTTCTATGCACTTTCTCTCAAATGATTAGAGATATGCTTCTAACACCTAAAAAATACAGGTATTAATAAAAACTTTCTAAAATGTCAATGTGTTAGTCTATCACATTTAAGTAAAATTATGCACTTATAATTTAAATATAAATGTCAAAAAATAAAGAGGATGAGGTTCTATTTAATGAAACTTTTGCAGTATCAGTTAATACTTCATGGTCTATATATGGATTTTATTTTATCAAATCTCTATCAAGTCAAGGCTATTTGATTAATGCTCTCCAACTTAAAACAAACTTACGCTCTCCGGTCATGGTCTATTCTGTTTATTTTTCCACCAATGAATACTCGGATCTTACAATCTTTCCACTTTTTCTTGGTAGTCAGAAGATAGGGTATCAACAAGGTCAAACCTGAATTACAAAAATATAATAAACTCTTTTTAAAAAATGCTTTTATCTCAAACAAAAATATTTATTTTCAACTTGGTCTCAAAAACCACATTTATTATATAACTCAATGTAAAGTAAAATCTGTCCTCCCCTGACAGTTCTGTCAAGGAGGGAGTCCAAGGGAGTGGTTCAGCCCAAGAACTGCAGTTCTTTATGTAAGCAGTAGAAATGGATGGTGGCCTAGGGCAGTCAAAAAATTGGTTGTGGACAGAAAGGGAAAGGAAATGAATATAGTCTAATAGGGGCAAGTTTCACACTGAAATGAGAAAGACGAAAAGTTATATGGAATTGGCTTCTTTCAAGCTCTAGATAATGCACACATGCGTACATACATATTATATATATTCCCCAGCTTTCTCCCCTGAGGCGGCCTGGTAACGAAGAATTATCCTAGAAGTCACAGGCATACTGCTTCTAAGTACTGCTCTTGACTAAAAGGTCCTTTCCATATAGAGGAAGGGATAAGTCTAGGATACCATCGTATTTCAGGAAGCAACTGCCAAAATGAGTGCTCTACGACACATGAACATATTAAGTCACCTTAGGGAAGTGAGAGATGACCCTGCTGGCTGGATGTGGACAATCAGAGAACTAAACAAATGATGACAGTAATAAACTATATCCTTTTGGATAAACCAAGAATCAATGACTCGAAGAGACGAGCTCTTCTTTACAATGAAATGCCGACCAATCAATGAGGACAGAACGGTGGGGGTGAAAATGAATCACCCGGAAGCACAGGAGTCCTTCAGAACCTGAGCGACTGAATGTGAATCCTAGTGTAACGGCTGAGCCTCCCAGGAACCATTAAAGGGGGAAAAACTTCAAGGGTAAGTCTGAAAAATCACACTTTCCTCAACAACTTACTTTACACCAATATACCACTCTTGGTGAAATGCAGACAGAAGAGAGCAGTATCACTTTTGTGCTGTTTCTGCCAAAAATTCATAATATGAAACTAATTCTGACCAATCTAACTGCACTCCAAATCAAGTGACAGTCACAACCTGGTCTGTAGTAGTTAATAAAATGACACTGTCACAACGCTCAAGAACGGACTAAAGCACCCTGAAGGACCCTGAAGGGACGATGCATGATTCTCACACTGATTCTTGTGCTGTTGGAGTGGGATGCAAACCTGAATGTGGTAAACACATGAAAATTGTATGCCATTTCTTAGCACTGTTCTTACATATTAAGTAAATTTCTAATTATTTAAAAGATGTATTAATGGCCTTACCTCCATCATCAAAAAGCCACCAGACATCAATAGTATTCTTTCCTTGTTTTTTCTGGAACTGTGTACTGGCTTCAAGAAGCTTTTGGTCAGCTACATTTAAAGGTGCAACAGGATCTTTGGATTCTAAAGGAGTAAGCAAAAAATTACGACTGATAGGAAGTAAATGTCAAATCTCCTTTTACTATATTCCTAGAATTTCCTAGCATTTCTAAATTCAGATATATTTATATGCAGATAGTTGTATATGACTTCCATTATAAGCCAGTAGTAGCTTATAACAGATTTTAAAAAGTACTTTTTGTCTTATAATAGGTAAACTCACCCAAACTACCCAAGTGTCTAGTATTCTGAAGTATTCTGGTGAAATCTGCTGGAATGCTAAATCCATACATTTACCGACGGAGTTCAGCTTTCCTGGAGAGCTACTTTAGGTTAATAGATCAAGCCTTAATACTATACTTGTCCTGTGAGGTTTCTTTTATTATCTGCTATCTCAATGATTTAGAGTTCAAAGGCACTACTAAATAAAAAGCTGTATTTGGAAGATGGTTGGATAAATACTAATATATACTCTTACAATTACCAAGGAAGTGTGCTTATTAATCATTTGTCCCCTCAATATGTGATACACAATGTCAAAGACATAGCCACATCTTTCTGAGTCACAGACAGATGGTAGAAAGTCCTGGAAATGGTACAGATACGCTGCATGTCTGTAAAGAGTTCCAATTTACATTTCTAGGAATTAAAAAAAAAATCAGCATTGACTCTGTGAGCAAGCAGATGACTATTATGAAACTCCACTACCACAATTTTAAAAACAGCAATTTACAGAAGGAACTCTGGTCCTTTTTCCAGAAGGTCCATCATTCACTTTTCATGCTGCCATGATGTAAGCAAACATGACAAATGATTTGCATGATGACGTAATATGGCTACCAAACCGCACTGCTCCGTAACTCTCACCTCTATCTCCTTCTCTTAACATTCATGTACGCTGACATGACTGTATCTCCCAAACGCAGCACGACTGTGAGAAATAGTGCAATTTTTGAAACAAAAAATATATTAGTATCAAAATCAAGAATTTGGCTGGGTACAGATGGTAAGGAGTGTAAGCGATACTGTGGACACGCCTACTCCAGTGTCCCTGCTTATTGGACCATGCAGTTTAAATCAGGAAAAGACCCAAAAAACAAAAACCCTGACTTTTCAGGTTTGTGTATTTCAGAAACACCATGACGATTCAAAAGACTGTAATAACAGTTTGTCCCAGTGAGACTTAATGCTTTCATTGGAATAAAATTAATTTTACTAATCTGCATTTAATAGGTAACTGTAATATCACCTCACCATGGAAATAAAAACTAAATTAAAATAAAAGGAAAACAATAGAGCTGGAATTAGAGAGTTAACAGTATGAGAAGAGGATTAAAATAAAATGATGAACAATGCCTGCCTTTTTTCAACAGTGGCTGAGTTGGAGTCTTGCCATCCTCTTCCTCATCTAGATTATGTTTAAAAAACACAAAATATGAAGTTAATCGCCTTTATAATCATAGAGTAATGGAAATGTAAATAGAGCACATTATATACAAGACAGTGTGAAGAAACAGCCCATGAGAAATGATTACTACTGAAAGTTACTATTTTCTATACTGAGTGTTTAATATTTTTTAAAACACATATTTTTATAAAGACCATACAGAGTGAATGATGAACACCCACACTGAAATTTTATATCTGTAAAATTATTCAGAAGAGCCAGCAGATTTTGTAAACATTAAACTTTATACTTGAAATTAGCTGAGAATGTCAAAGCGTGTAGAGTGGATGCATGACTCTGAGCGACCACCTTGGCAGATCACACACAAGCTTCATACAGGTCACCGCACCACTATACAAACGGCTGAACGCACCTGGATTGTACACGGCAATCAGAACTTGGAATATTAAGGAATTTCATCAGAGTAAAATGCCAGTTTATAAAGGAATTATTTTCTTCAAATAAAGTTTATGTACACATTCATATGTGTGCATATATTCACCAGCTTATATTCAAATATTTACCAATTTGCTTTCTGGGGTAAGTAGTTTTTCTAACTCCTTTTTTCCCCATAAATGTAAATTTACTTGTTTAAAGTAAGCAAACTCGAGACTTAGAAATTTTAAGAACATTTTGCAAAGGGAGCCAAAGGAAAATTCCCAGCTTTCAATAGTATCTCTCACACTATCCTCTGGGAACCAGACCTGGTTAGTTGATGCCTTGTTTTCTCACTGGTAGAAATGTACCTACCCCTTAAGGCTATAGAATTGCAAGCCCTGCTCAAAAAAGCTGAGGCTGGTACAAACTAAGTACTTACAGGGTATTCTCTTCTTGTCCCTTTGTACACTATATGCCTTAGTAAGCAAGACAGATAAAACCAATACTTGGACTATATATTGGAATGTTTCTAATCCTGAAAAGCTTTTTTTTTTTTTACAAAGTTTCCATTTTTCTTAAAATATCTATGCTGATTTTGAGAATTTGTCAATAGAAAACAGAAAAATCAACCTATATAACTGTTACTTTTTATGCATGTTATGGAAAAACTAATTAAATTTTAAATATTACTGTTATAAAGTATTAATATCTGCTTTTGAAAATTTAGTAGTGGATGGTTTATATTCATTTAAAGGAGTTTATATGCCAAAGCCACAGTGGCATTTAAAATGACTGATAATATTACCTATCTGTGCAGGTGTCTGAAAGGGGACAACTTATAGCAGTCAGCTCTCTCCTTCCACTTTTTAAGTCCCAGGGATCAAATTCAAGTCATAAGACAGCGCAAATGCCTTTTTCCAACAGGGCCTTACTACCCACCAAAGTAACTCTTTAAGTCAGGCTAAATGCATCTAAAATTTTACAACAGAGTAGAAATGTACTAACCTAGTTTCCTACTTTTTAAAACTATGAAGTTGTAGCACACATTGATAAGTTAATGTTTTATTACTATCTTCTTAGATGTGAGTGCAGAGTAGCTTCTAGGAAATGATCAATACAACTGCATGCATTGATTCGTAATAGACTACACAGAAAGGGTCTGTTTCAGCCAAGAAAACGGGGGAAGGGCAAAAGAATGTACACATAAATTAAAATAAATGCATAACAAATAAACAGAATCAGTTTATGGAATGCATAGAGAACACAAAAAAGAATAATAAAGCCACCAAGGACTGAGAGGAGAAATGTGTGCAGGTCACACTTTCTACTACTGCACTAGGCAGGCAATTACACAGGAAAGAAAAGAATAAAAAGCAACATTAACGCTTTCAAATAATCTAAAAGATAAATTGTGCAGAGACATGGTTTGTCCAAGGCTATCAATTTCATAAAAAGATGGTAGTCATCTTAGAGAAATAAAAAGTACACTATGGCTTGATGATTTACAGTGCAGATTTCTTTCTTAGTGCGTTATCAGCTGGAATAGGACAGAGGAGATACGAGTCTCAACAGAGGTCGGAGAGTGAGGGTAGGAGAGTAAGATTTGGAAGTCATCCCTCTTCTTAGGGCAGAACACACAAGCTTGTGGATGGAACTATCTGTAAGCCTCATGAAAAAGGAGGTGCTCTTCCCAAGTTCAAACAAAAATATTTGAAAGCAAATTACTTAAAACTATATTAGTAATAATTAATTGGCATGGTTTCTGTTTTAAGGAAAAAGCAAACAATGTCTAGCTTAAGAAAAGGAACTTTGTAATGTATGTTATACTCAAAAGTCAATCCCCTCCACTTTAACACCAACTCTTGATAAAAATCTCTCTGAGTGGAAATTACCTTTATGTGTAATGGATTTTTCACCAGATGACTTGCAAGTATTTTGATCTGACTTTTTACTGCAGTCCACATTCACCACCACATCCTTGGTACCTGGGGATTTTTCTTGTGAAGATAGTAATTCTTCTGTAGATATGAAAGTATTTAAAACAGTATCAAAGATTGTATTTTAACTATTCAAAGTGACATGGCTTCATAGTAAAAAGGTAAACCAGTATCCCTTGTGAAATAGTAAGGTATGATAAGTGGTTTCTTAAGAAACAACCGAAGTGTTTAAAATGATTGTCCATGTAAATATGTCAGTACTAGTGGCTAAGTAGGGTCCTGGGGAGTGAGTAAGTAATAAACGTCAACTGGAAAACACATATAAAGACAATACAACACAAAATTGATAATCTGTCCATAATGCTCATCACTAATTTGTATGGAGGTACAGAAGCAAAAGGAGATATGGGATCCAAGTGCCATAATCTAAGGGGTTAAAAGAATTCACCTCTTTACTGTTCAGGACAACCCTATGAGGTACATCGCTAGGCATTAACAGACAAGCAAACAGGCCCAGAAGCTACCAAACCTGCCCAGGCTACAAAATTATGGGAAAAGGCTGTAAGTTTTAGAAGACATCCACCTGGGCTCAACACCAGATATCAGCAAAGGACAAGGCCTTCAAAGAAGTACTTCATAATGATCATAGATACACAATACTTTTAAAAAATGTTTCAGTCACATTCAAACCCCACTAAATAATAGAATTGAATAACACATTATTCCTGTGAGTGACAGGGGCACGGCTTCTAATTATGCAGTGTTAATGGGTATGAGTCAGATTCTCTAAACATAGTCATTGGTACAAGGCTTCAAATGAGGTTCTGCTAGATTCATTCCAGAGAAAGAAAAATACATTTTCAGCCAGCAAAGCGTGTTTATTTCATAGAGAACTCAAAGTGTTTCTTCAAAGTTGCAGAGTTGCAAAGTTACTCTTAAAGGTGAGCAGTGTAAAGTCAAAGAGTTTAAATCGATGAGCTGATTACAAGTTTTTATATGCTTCTTGTCTTTTTCAACTAATCTGATGATTTCATTAATTAACTGTATAAGAGGAAATGGTAACTATTCAGTATTTTTGAATTAGCAAAAAATTAGAAGGATATGAAAATTTCCATTCTCATAAAATCTGCAAGAAAGTTATACCTTAAATTGGGTCTTAAAATTGTCACTTTAAAAATACTTTAAATGTATGCATTGTATTATTTAACTTACAGCCAAAGTAGTGATGTAAGTATTTTAGGAGAGGTTCAAATATTTTTCTCATCCAAATTTTACAAAAAATTTGGTTGGTCAATTTACAATCTGCCTTTCTTAAGTGTATGATTTATAAATCATAAATTCTATCCTCTCCATTAATAATAAATAATTAGCCATGCTTTATGATGCAGACATTGTTGGCTTCTAAGCAAGTCTGATTCAAGACATAAAAATGATGGCAATTATGAAAGTCAGTGAAGGACATGTAACAACTAGGCATGATTTTCTAACAAAGTGATACATACAAGGCAACCTCCACTGTGGAGCACTCACCTTGTCCCTGGAGGTGGGATATGTCCAGGCCCTCCTTCAGGCGGATAACCACAACTCCATATTGTATGTCGAAAGCATCACTGCGATGGAGAAAGGAAGCATCACAGAACCGTTATGCTCTGTAGGAAGTGAAAGGACCTATACACCTCTAAAATTACTGTCAGCTCTAAATGTCTGTTTTCTTTAATATGCTTTGAAAATCAGTCAGTGGGAGATGAATCATGTTAGTTCCGAATCCCACACCTTTCTTCTATAATACCCTTGATACTACGCAAGCTTCTATTACAGTAATGTGCGACCTGATGCTCTGGTCAGAAGCACACTGTATACACAACTTCCCACGCATAGCCTAAGTGCAGCCTAGCTCTCTGCACCTACTTTCTCTCAAAGCCACCTCACAATATACTTCCTGGAATTCACACCATCACCAAGCACCACAACTGACTCATGCAGCAGCTTTTTAGAGCAGGAACAGATTTGTTTGGTTGGTAATTGTTTGGTTGTTCATTTATTTAAATTTTATTTTATTTTTCATTTTGCGTCTGTGTGTAGAAATGTGTACCTAAGTGTCTGTGAGGATGTCCCTACAACTGGAGCTACAGCCACCTGAAGAAGGTTCTGGGAATAGGAATTGGGTCCTCTGGAGCTGAGTGGTCTTAAACACTGCACCATCTAGCCCCCTCCATTTGCAAGGCAATATGACAGAAAACAACTATTACAGCAATTCTACTACACTTAAACTTAGGTATATTCCTTTGAAGTTAAGAGAAACATATGCTAACTACCAAAGCATTTGGACCCTTTCAGGGCCATTATGATCGACTACAACTACTGCTAATGTTGGAGTATAAATCCATTTCCCAAATGCTGCTTCTCTATCTCCTAGGCTAATTACTCCATTGCACTGCTCTTGAGCCTGTGAAGAAAACAGCATAGCCCGGCACAGCTCACAGCTTTGAGAGCTCATCGTTTAATCTTTATTTCTACTGTCTGTCTTCTGAGGCATAGTATATACAAGGCACAGAACTAGACAGCTGCAGTGACTGTTCACCAGATGGTCAGGATGTCCTAGCTCTAGACTTTAGCCTTACTAAAATCACCTAACAATGTAAGGGTTCATTTGTCACCTGCAGGCATTACTAATCAAAGTAGACCTCCTAAAAGAGCAACTATGATCTCTGATCATTTCCGGAAAGACTTTTGAAATAAACTATGAAAAAAAAATCTATAAACAAACCAGGAACTTCAGGAAAAGGGGCCACTGCAGTAAGTTCCAAGTAATCCCACCAAAATTCACAGGAAAACTGGCGTGTGGATTCCATCTTAGAACCTCTTTGCTAAAGGTAAGAGTTTCTCACTGATGTTTGTTTTTAAAAACAATTATTTATATGCAAGGTAATACTGTACAATAATAATGGCACTGTGAGAACTGTTAGTATAAATTACATTGGTTGAGCAAGTTTTAACAAGTAAATCTGGTAAAAAAAAAAAAGTTCTCTCATTGAATAATTCAATTCTACAAAACACTGGTAGGATTAAATATATACACAAAAATCTATGAACCAGAAAGGCAAGTAGCAAAGAAATAAAAAGAACCCACTAGACAAGCTGTGAGAAGGAAGTTACAGTGATGTGAAACAAAGCTAAGCTGCATGGTAAACAAGCAACCCAGAGGAAACGAGAACGGTGAGCTCAAAACAAGACTTCAAGTGGAAAAGGCAAACAAGCACGTGTAGCTGCAAACAAGAGCAACTCAAAGGATGAAGCAGAGACCAGCGTGGGAACAAAAGCAAATCTCTGCAGCTGCTCAGTGTAGGACATAATGAAGACCTTACAAAGCTGACTCTGTTCAGCTACTGCAAAAGCACAGGAAGAAGCCTACCAGCTTACACAGGAAGCAGGTACCTATACACACCCACTCTTGTTCACAGTAACACTTCTACGAAAAATTATTCAGCTGTTAAGAAAATTGAAAATGAAATTCACAAGTAAATTGATGGGAGTTGGAAACATGCACATTAAATAAGAAAACCTAAATCCAGAAAGATAAATATTGTATATTTCCTCTCATTTCTGGATGTTACCTTTGAATATTCACATATATGTGTTCCATTTGTAATGTCCACAGAAGTCGGGAATTTATTAAGGGGAGAAGTGGCCTTCAAGAATGTGGGGATAGAGCACAGTAGTACAAAGTATTAAGGGGGAGCAATAGAATAAAATGGGCTAAACGGGGGTGGAAGATGGGAGGCAAAGTAAAGAATGAAATATGGGGAGAGAGGGGTAATTAATATTAAAATCCTTTGTAAAAAACTTGGAGACCTACTACTGTAGAAGCTTCATAAGATATAGATGTATATAGAGGTATAATGGTGTTACCCTACAATGAGGGGAGGCCATACCCCAATCTAACAAATTACCCCAGTATCAAGAATTAGGTTACCATTTTTTTGAGTTGTTAGTCAATGGTGTCACACAGACCACTAAGTATAACATGCTAACCGTCATAACTTGATGCTAAAAACCTATTGCTGAAGACACTACATACTTGAATCACAGACCATGGGGACATTGAGCGGGCATTCATCCTTACTACCAGAGCTCATGGGGCTGGAAGAGTCCATGACCAGTGCTATAGAAAAGTAAGCCTCAACCTCATCGTTCATGAAAATCTGCAAGCTACAACGACTGGCCTGGCAAGACAATGTCCACTGGTGCCACCTCAGACGCCTCTCCTAGCAGTAGATGGCAATTAGCAGAGACTCCAATCTGGTCAAATGTGCAGAGATCACACACTGGATGCTTAGCCCTAAGTCAGACATTCACATCACACCCTTTGCCCCAAGGCTCAGCCATCATCTCTGAAGAGAGCATCTCTTAAGAGCTAAAGAGGAACTTCAAGGAAAGTTTTCTAGATAAATAGGACAGCTGCACATATGAACTCACAGTAAAATGACAACAAGCTCCAGCCAGACAAAATTCCAAGACAGAGGGAGGACAGTGGACCTGTGATCCTACCACTAGCTGAGGAGGGGAGAACAAGGGAGCATTTTAAACGGGATCCCTGGGAAACTGACCACACACTAGTTGGTCAAAAAAAAAAAAAAAAAAAAAAGGACTCAATTGGAAAAGAAAAAAAAAGAAGCAATCTCAAAGTTGAGTAGAAATTAAAGAGTTTAAAAGGATTTAGTATGTCTCAGATACACTGAAATTATTAAAGAAGTAAAAAAAATACAACAAAAAGGTCAACAAACCATTTTACATACATGAGCTATTCTGTAGATGTATTTGCATCTGTACCTATACATAAGTACTTGTACATAGGTTTTATATGAAAAGAGAGATCATTATTGTCCTAGTAGGTCACCATTTTAAAACCCAAATAGTACATGAGGTTCTTTCTCATTTTTATGCACCTATTAAGAAAGGACTACATAAAATAAACAAGGTAAAAATTGAGGGAATGCTTCAAAATTAGCATTTTTCTGTTAAGTACATAACAATTCAGAACATACTTACTGAAATAAGTTTATATACATGTCCACATCCCTCATATCTGCTTGTAACCAGTCTTTCTTAAATCCAAGGACCAGCGTGTTTGGTTTCATACGACCAAGACCAGCAGCCTAAAATATAAAACACAATTTCAAATACACACTATTTAACAAGCCAATTTTTAAGAGGTGAAGTATTTCCACATTGACAGGATTTTTTTTGTAAATTATACATATAAAATTGACCCCTAATTACTTATACTAAATACAAATAAAAACAGATATTACAATGGAACACTTGAAAGCTACTAAATTCACTTTTATATCTTGATGACATGAAAAATTTTGTACTTTTACTAACCAAAATAAGGTATTTAATTTAAAAAGAAAAGAAAAACAACAGTTGCATTCCCCGCCTGCTTGATGTGTTTTGAGAACAGTCATTAATGCCTAGGTGCACTAATGTCCGGAGTTCTGAATTCTTCCAATAGGAAATTGAATTCTTTCAATCATTTACATGTTCTTTCTGAAATCTGTTTGGTTCCTTCCCACAACAGTTCAAGTATTCATCTTGCAATCTCACCAAGAGCTACGTTGCAAGCCAAGTATGGTGGGTGCATGCTAATAATCCCAGCATTCAGGAGGCAGAGCCAGACTGCAATGAGTTTGAAACCAGCCTAGTCCAGATATAGTGTCATAGGTTATATAGTATTTGAGACAGATAGGAAGATCCAGTCTTAAAACACACATGGACACAGAAACAAAGAGCTGCAATTAATCATAACAATTATCCCTCAAAGTCCAAAAGAATCTCTTTTCTGAGATTTTGTTTTATTTCTCAAGTATACTGAGAAATTATATCCTGGGAGGGTATGACTTTTTAAAAATTGTGGTAAGGGCTGAGGAGATAGTTTGCATGAAGACCTGAGTTCAATCCCAGAATCCATGTAAAAGCCCATGCCTTGTGGCACACACTTGCAATAACAGTGACAGAGACAGAGACAGGCAGATCTCTGGGACTCACTGGCCAATCAAACTAGACAGACTGGCTCGTTCCAGTAAGGAGTGAAAGACACTGTTTATTAAGTCCACACACAAACCTGCACAGACAGACACATACGTAAATGAATCATGGTAAAAAGTTAACAAGTTTACCATGTTAAATAGTATTTATTGTGTCCACAATACTGCCAAGTAATACATCACTATTTCTAGAACCTTCTCATCACCCAACCAGAAATTCTGCAACGGCTGTGTAACAGCCATTCATAGCTAGTCATGTTCTTCTCCCTTGTGGCCCTTGTGACATTTAATACACTTTTACCTGGTTACTTCATGAGCAAAATCCCACAACTTTGATGGTTGGCTTACTTCACTTAGCAGGTTGTCTTCTAAGCTAATGCAAAAGTGAGTACCGTAGTCTTTTCCTCAGATAGACAGTATCTTTGTATTTAAATATCCACATGTCACATGTGCTTATCCATTCGTCTGATGATGAACACACTGGCTGTGTATAGCTTGTACCTTCTGGCTGCTGTGCACAATGGTGCAGTGGCAAATACCTGCACTAGAAAAATCTAACTGTTCCTTCAGTTTTTAGGAATAAATGTCAAAGAATGCAGCCTATCAGTTTATGCTGACAGTCAACAAAGCACAAGTTCTCATATTTCTACAACCCCACTAACAGTATCTCACTGTAGTTTTGATTTACAATTCCTTTATAACTAATATCAAAAATATTTTTCATGTTTACTGGAGATTATTTAGTTTTATTTTTTTACTAATTCTGTGTTTTATTATTATTGTTAGAAGTTTTTGAATACATATTATGGATATCAGAACCTGTGGTGGTTTGGAGGAGAATGGCCTCCATAGGCTCATATATATGAATGTCTTGTCCCCAGTTGGTGAACTGTTTGGGAAGGATCCGGAAGGGTGGCTTTGTTGAGGTGTGTCACTGGGGATGGGCTTCAATGTTTCAAAAGCCCACACCAGGCACAGTTAGCTCTTTCTCTGCCTTGCATTTGTGGGTCAGGATATAAGCTCCAGCTACTGCCAGATCTCCATGCTTGCCTGCCTGTCTCCCTGCCCCCATGCTCACCGCACTGATGGCCATGGACTCACCTCTGAAACTATAACCCACAATAAACTTTCTTTTATAAGTTACCTTGGTCATGGTGTTGCATTACAACAGCAGCTACTAAGTTATACTTAGTTACTAATGCAAACCCTTTATTCACAGTGACTGGAACTTTCTCCCATTCCCTAAGTTGTTTGCATTTTCTTCACAAAGTCCTCTGTGGAAGACATCTGAATTCTGAAAACGTCCAATTTATTGCTGTTTTAAGGTTCATGCTTTTGGTGTCATAACTGAGCCTACTGCCAGATCCAAAGCCATGGAAAATTTAGCTCTGTTTTCTTTAAGTTTTATGGTTTTAGCTCTCATTTATGTTGATGATACATTCTAATTTGTTTTTGTCTAATGGTTCTAAGTAACATCTTTAAATCTTTTTTTTTTTTTGCAAAACATAAAATGAATCCAAATATTTATCAAAGGCATGGCCATGAGTCAGTGTCCAAAGTATTTCAGTAATTAAGGTGCAGAAAGTAAGGGACAATAAAGAATATCCCAACTTTCTTCTAAAATGAAAACTATCTGCTGGGTGGTATAACCATAGAAGTCTCATATTTGTTTGTTTGTTTGTTTGTTTTGCAGGGTGGAGGCAGAGTCAAAGGTGTTGAACAGAACCAAGCAGTGTTTTCAGTATCTTCAGGCACAACAGCTGTTTAACAGAGTCAGTTACAAAACAGCAGTGACTTGTTGATGGCACAAAATACTATCAAGGTCATGTTTTTGGGGTAAAAACCTATGTCATAATCCTATTATAATGAAAATGGCACGTTTGTTTGAGTGCTAAGGATTAAACTCAGGGCCTCACACAAACAAGCAATGCATACTACCACTGAATAGTTTCTCAAAGTTTTAACTTTAAAAAGTATGGAATAAACATCCTGTAAGACACTCTGTGTACTTACACTTTCAGAGGCATTAATGCACTAACTCTCTCTAGGATTACTCAGTTTTTTTCACTGCCACATGTATCTCTTTCACCTTTAAATATTTCACTCAGTGTAGCTATTACAAAAGAGATATTATTTCCAATTCCTATGAAGCAGTGTGTATTTAGGAAAACACTTTACTACTGAAGAAAAGCATCTTCTCCAGAAAACACCTCATTGGTATATTCAGTTTTCAGATTCTATCCTTAAAGAAGAACAACACAATGCTTCCCTCAAGCCTCTCCTCCTGCAGTGCCAGCTCTGTATTTTCAGCACTGTTCTCTATGCACCTTGTGTCAGAACTTAGTGACAATAACCGCATTCACTCTGTCATTTTGTATGTCATCACAACCATAACAGAGGAACGGGCTATATAGCTTTTCATTTTTGTCTTCTACTATTAAGCAAAACGATGATGACCTCACTTTATCAACACTTAGTACATCAGAGCACACTCTATTCCTAGAGCCTGGTTACAGTATTGGATATAAACGTGTAGTATAAACAATTTTATTAGCAATTCCCAAATTCTTTCGATTTATGAATTCTAGAAGAAAAACAAGGTTTTTGTTTGGTTGGTTTTAGTTTTTCAAGACAGGGTTTCTCTGAGTAACAGCCCTGACTGTCCAGGAACTAGCTCTTGTAGACCAGACTGGCCTTGAACTTAAGAGTTCCACTTGTCTCTGCCACCTGAGTGCTGGGATTAAAGGCATGCACCACCACCGTGTGGCATACCAAAACAAGTTTTAAAAACACTGTTAGCCAGATTAAAATTGTAATCTCAGCTCAGGAAACAGACACAAGAGGATCATATACTGTGATTCAAGGCCAGGTGGGTCAACACTATGAGGTCCAGGACAACCAGAGTGAGATCACAAAAACCTTTTTCAAAAACAGCCACCACCATCACTCAACTGTTTTAGCATGACCAATGAAGTCTAAGAAGATGCTAGACAAGATAATTCTAGGCTGAAATTATAAATAAGCAACTGAATTTGAAGAGTCATCTCTTTGGAATATTAAGAACAGTATCATTTTGCTATATAAAATAAAAGTTTAAAAATGGTTGGAGAATCAGATGTCTACTGCCTTTTTAAAAAGAAAAAATCCAGCCGGGCGGTGGTGGCGCACGCCTTTAATCCCAGCACTCGGGAGGCAGAAGCAGGCGGATCTCTGGGAGTTCGAGGCCAGCCTGGTATCCAAGAGCTAGTTCCGGGACCACCAAAGCTAAAGAGAAACCCTGTCTCGAAAAACCAAAAAAAAGAAAAAAGAAAAAATCCAAAACATAAATCAAGAAATTAACCATGCTAACATCTCACTGTTAAAGTTCTCATTAGCAAACTAGTGTAATGAAGCCTGATATCTGAATGCTAGTTTAATGATAAATTCTGATAGTCAAGATGAGCTAGACAGAAAGAAAGAAGAGAAATCAGAAGTTTAGAGTATAATTTCTTCTGAAAGAATCAACTACTTAAAACCATATTGCTAGAATACCGGCAGTGAAGAAAAATATGAACGGAACACTTTCTGACAATGATTTAAAAAACAAGATAAATCTATTACTTATGTGATAGGTTTCCACAAGGAAAAAGGGAAACAAGATCTTCCAGTGGCATTTACACTAACTCCGCAGAAGTAGGCTGCAAATAAGCGAGAACAACTGTCAGCTAGCTCCGCCCCTTCCAGAGGTGCAGTGCTACAGCTGTGCTTATTCTGTCTTCCTCTCACACAGAGAACCCTCCTGATCCATAGAAAGCACGTTAGTTGGACGATGAACACTAGATTAGTTTGAAATCCTGCCAGATTACAAGGCTGTACAGCACACAGGCTTTCTAGGGCAGTGGTTCTCTGGCTTCTGAGGCCGTGCAGCTCCACTGCAACCTTTTTCACCATGAGAGGAAAAGAAATCTGCTCTAGTGAGTTCTCTTTAAGGAAGAATTCCTTCATAAAATTTATTACATATGTAAGTGGTTATCAAAATATTTCTGAAAGCTTACAAAAGCCAGCAGGATTAACTCATCACACACATCGCTACCAGACATAGTAGACACACGAAGTACTAAACTATTACAAACTACAAAAAGTTCACGCCTTTAATCCCAGCACTTGGGAGGCAGAGGCAGGTGGATCTCTGTGAGTTCGAGACCAGCCTGGTCTACAAGAGCTAGTTCCAGGACAGGCTCCAAAACCACAGAGAAACCCTGTCTCGAAAAAACAACAAAAAAAAAGAACAACAAAACCTACAAAAAGTTATAAATCACAAAGCAATAAGCACAGTTCAGACAGACATATGAAATACACATGAAGAACTGCATGTATCTACATGTGCACTTATCACATATATTAATGATTCTATTGTTTAGAGACATATCCAAGTAAAGGTTTTACAATTTTTAAAAATTGCACCTCTATTTTTTCATGTACTTTTAAGAGCTGCTATTTTTAACACTAAGATTTACCCACATGTGATGGAGGAAGGTCATTGGTTAAATAAAAAGAAACTGCTTGGCCCTCATTGGTTAGAAGATAGGTGGGAGGAGTAAACAGAACAGAATGCTGGGAGGAAGAGGAAGTGAGCTCAGACTCCACAGCTCTCCTCTCGGGGGCAGATGCCTCAGAGAGAGACGCCATGCCCCGCTCCCGGGCAGACACACGCCATGAAGCTCTGACCCAGGATGGACTAGGCTAGAATCTTCCCGGTAAGACCGGTTCTCACAGATTATTAGAGATGGGTTAATCGGGATATCAGAATTAGCCAGTAAGGGCTAGAGCTAAAGGGCCAAGCAGTGTTTAAATGAATACAGGTTGTGTGTTGTTATTTGGGGGCATAAGCTAGCCAGGCAGCCGGGGTGCTGGGAACGCAGCCCCGCCGCCCCTTATTACTACACACATGGCTGTGTGCAGTTTTCACCTATATGCAGAATTCTATAGTGATACACTTTACATTTTAATTATCTGATGTTTGTTGAAATTAATTATAATTGTGTTAAGCTATTACAAATGATGCTGCGAAGTGGCAACAATGAAATCTTCTCTAGTGACCTCACTAGCCTGTGTAATCTGGCTAGGTTTCCAGTACCAGCCATGATTACTCTCCTGATTGGATCTAATTAGACAGCTGTTGGTTGCCTCCAACATGTGAGTGCCACTTATGCATATTTTGCCATGCTGGTAAAGTATCATGTTTCAGAAACATTGCAACATTGGTGAATTATTTATTTAAGAGCTCCTCACCCTCCTCCCCCTTTAGCTTCTTAAATAGCACTTTCTGGAACCATGAAAGCTAGACTGTAGGAAAAGAGGCTTTTAGGTCAGACCCAGATCAAATCATCTAATTCCCATGTCCTAAGTGAATGGTGTCATCAGCAATAAGGGCCCACCCTCAGTCTCTGAGAGACAACCAGGGGCTCCACCAATATTGTTTTGGGAGCTGATTAGACAACTCTAACTAACCATTCACAAGGTGGTTTCTTGTGCCTGAACTTAAAACTGCAGATTCATCTTTACATGGGAAGAGGTGTATGCGTGAAGTCTAGTCTTGTTCTATCACCAGGCTCTTGTCTAGCAGTGATTGTGGCAGTTCAAACACATCCAACTTCTCTTTACCTGACAGAAGTGGTCCTGGTCGTTATGGCTACAGAATTGCTTTGACTCTAGTCATGGCATCTAGCTTCCTTCTTTGATCCACATCTTCCCCTCTCCCCCTTCATTTACTGGCCTACAGCATATCCAGACACACCGCTCCATTCTTTTACTGGCTATATTTCAGGATTAGTATGCTCCCATAATGTTTATGTTTCCCTTAAAATCTCAAAGATTTAAACTTTTAAAAGATTACTGATATTTTTCACAGTTCTATTTTCTGGGTTTCATTTAGAAAATCATTCTCTGAATATTTTATATATTCTCCTAATTTTTAAAATTCGCATTTTATCTCTAGGCTTTTAATTCATCTTTAAAATAATGGTTTTGTTTCGATTTTTACTTAAGACAAGGTCTCACTATATAAACCTGGCTGGCCTGAAACCCATGGTGTAGACCAAGCCAGCCAAAAGCACGGGATAATCCCCAGTCTCCAAAGAGCTGAGCCTGCAGCTGTGCACTACTGCATCTGGCTCTCTTTCTATTTTGTAGCCATGGAAGGCTACATGGAAGCTTATCCTTACCATGTATCCCAAGCTGGTCTTCAATCAATGGCATCCACAAAACCTTGCTTCAAAATGACTTTTGCCCAGTCTTTGTAAGGACACATTTCATTCCTTTTCATTGACAGCAATTACAGACAACCTTTTCAAAGCCACCTGTATACGGTAAATTTTCTCATTTTCTGCCGTCATTAAATTGCAGCAGCTTCCATGCAGCAGGGTCGTAATTACTTACAACCTACTCACCGCTTGGCTTTCCTAAAGTTTATTTATTCCTAACAAAGCTCCAAAGATTATTCCTACGTTCTAAGAAGCATGCAGCAGAGCTAAAAATCTCACCTCACCTTTAACAGACAGTTCTAATCACAGCGCTTTTTACTTTTAATGTGTACTTGTTTGGTTTTAAGATTAAGTCGGTAAACACTGTTTCAATTTATATCCCCTATTATCTTTAGGAAAGTGAAAACAGAGTTCCGAAGTTAAGTAAATAGTTCGGTTCAAGATCCATAATAAGACAGCAACAGCACTAACATTTAAACCTGGGAATGATTCCAAATTTCCTATTGTGGTGCTTATAAAATACATAAAGTCTAAACTAAGAGCTAGTAAATGAACAAATATAAAAGACAAGAATTTTCGAAAAAGCAAAATAAAGATGGCTATGACTCAATGTTTTAAAAACAAACCTGGAGGGTAAAGGAAGTGAGAAACACCTAACAGAGAGAGGTGAACAGGTTAAGAGAATTTCTAATAGGCTCTTTGTGTCACCCAACAACACAACATTTCTGCAGATTTCTAAATTACAAAATGATTAGTGGTTTGCTTAAAGATATTTTTAAAAAGATATAGACTACATGAACAATTAAGTAGAAAACATAAAAGCTTTAATGTCCAGCCACGTGAAAGACTCATCACCTGCATCAAATACTGGGCACCTTCTCTCAAGTCATCTGCATGAACCGGAGCATAGAAAGCCTTCATTTTGTTTTTAATAAGCCATCGCTGATATTTGGCTTGATCAATGGACATCTCTTTCATAGCTTGTCTTCGAGGGCCCTTTAAAACAAAATATTATCAGAATTTTTTACTTGACACACAATTCCTTTTACACTTAGAAAAGGTATCCTCTTGCATTGGTCTGAAAGAATGTGCTTGTGTGGATGGGGGAGAAGTGAAATAACAGTCTTTCATTTTCCCTGAGGGAATTCTAATACCTAAGGTTATGCAAAAAGGCAGAGCACTGCTGGTGCCTGGAGAAGGGAGGAAAAAAGATTTTAAAACAAAATATTTCAATCCTAAATTAATGAGTGTAATTTGCAATTACTGAAAATGGAAAGATATTACACAATGCAAAATAAAGCCTTCTATTTCTCTACAGAAAGTCTCCAATTTTGCTTTCTGTTTGGTCTAAGTGTCTGGGTTACTGAATCACAGTAAATTGAGAATATCAGTAAAAAATCAAAGTAAGGCATATACTTCTATAAGATGAAGGAAATGGGCTTTGCTAACTCAAAATTACATTTTTTTTCAAAATTCCATTTTGATACTTTTATACAATCTATAAAATTTGTTAGGCACAGATATATAAAACAAAACTTTGAAAGTATTTAAAAGTATATATCTTAAAAATAAGTATGTCAGGGGCTGGAGACATGGCTCAGTGGTTAAGAGTACAGGCTGCTCTTCCAGAGGACCAAGGTTCAATTTCCAGCAAAACAATTTCCCACAAAACAACTCACTGTTTCATACAGGCAAAACAAAGTACATAAAATAAAAATAAATTAAGCTATAAAAATAAAAAATATGTAGAGAAAAATATCTCCTAATAATGGAAACTGCCTTCTTTCTAACATCTTGTGCTCAAGGCACTGACTTCAAGGCTCAGCTAGAAACAAACTAGAACACTCCATGTACCCTGAGTGGGGTCAATGCTGATGACAAACCCTCCACACAAGCCCAAGTGTGAACATGGATATTTGTGGCCTTGGCTTTGCAACCATACAAGAGCGACTGTTACAGGAATTGCAATACAACGAACAACAAACATTCTGGCACCTAAATAATGGAGCAGAGTTGGGGAAAAAACAAATACGACATTCTAGTTTTTCTTTTTTTACCCTCCAATGCCTATCATTTATTTGTTACTCTTAAAAGACTTATTTTTAACTGGACTCAGATTTACAAATAGAAATTCTCAGTGAGGACAGCCTACTCTCTCGGCAATCTGTTCCTGGCATTTTTTGGTGGCTTCCCTTCATTCTCTTGGGCAAATGTTTACCATATTCTGCAGCCTCCTCATTTTCTTATCATACTGTCTGTTCAGAGCAGTGTCACAGGATGCGTGGAGTGACATGATGCTGAGTCTTGGCTGGTCTGGTCCTTTGTTGCCTACCTTCTTTAAGGGTTTTCTGATAACACATTGGCACACATCAGGTTATGCTCGCTCTTTTGGACCCCAGCTGCTGAGGCACAGTACTTACTGTACAGAAATATCCTTCTCTCCCTTTTTTACAGTAGCCAAGCTAACAGCCCTTAGACTGTGTCCATGATGCATCTCAAAAAGACTTGTGCCCTCTCCCCAAATCCTCCTTGATCTACAGCAGGAATGCCGCTCGCTCAATAGCAGGCACATGTTATTGTGGAGCAAGACACCTTGAGTCATGGAAAACTCTGTCATTCCCACTGACTTGGACCACAAAACCCTTCCAGAACATCTGCAGCTACTTCTGTGACCATGTGCTCCTCAGGAAAAAAAATTTTTTTTTTTAAATTTATTTATTTATTAAGGATTTCTGCCTCGTCCCCACAACCGCTTCCCATTTCCCTCCCCCTCCCCCGATCAAGTCCCCCTCCCTCATCTGCTCGAAGAGCAATCATTTTTTGTCATCCACTTCAACAAGTATCCAACAATCAATGGCTGGGAAGGAAATAGTCAGCTTCTCTTGACGCAGCTGGCCAGGAGGTGCCACAAAAAACAAAACAAACAAAAAAAAAAAACCTCACCTCAGCTCCAATGCACAACGCATGATGCATCATTTCACAATTATTTTCAAGATTCAAAATGATATTTTTTAAAAAAGTACTACTTTGGGGGTGAAAACTTACTATAGATATTTTTCTTACTCCTGATTCAAATCACAAAGTATCTGTTTAAAAATGCTACTTTGTGACTGTGACTTAAAGGAAAAAGCATTTTGAATAAAACATCTAAAAGAAATCCTACAAATTTGTCTAACGACTTCTAATCTACAAAGTTTGTAATTTACAATCCCAGTTGATGAGTGAAAGAATGATTTACTATAGAACACAAAACTAATACATACCATATGCACATGGCCACAGATCATCAAACCAACATTTTTCGTGAAGTCATGAACAAGATGAAGTAAAGCAGGGCGCGAGTTTGGAGACCCTGTCATAACAAGACACTGTGGCCTAATATGAGATAAAATAAATAAAATAAAATAAAATTAGAACAGTTTGAAATCTGAAGTTTGTATGTGGTTTCTCTAAGAGCAAAGCTACAGAACTTTAGGAAGATGCTGGCTATGTGGGACTGGAGGGATGGCTCAGTGGTTAACAGTGTTTGTTGCTTTTCCAAAGGACCCAAGTTCAGTTCTCAGCAGCCACGTCAGACAGTTCAAGGCTACGTGTAACTCCAGTTGGCTGTCAAGGGCCCCTGGAGACACAGAGCACATTCGTACAGACAAATAGACATATATAACACATAAATAATACCAAATGTTAAAAAAAACCTTGTAAGAAATAGCATACCAGATACCCCTCCAAACAACACTGAGTTTCTGGGAATGCCACAGAAATTACTATTTTGTTTAAGAATGAGATAATAATTTTTTATCTTCAAAGGTCAGAAATGTTCCAGCCATTTCATAGATCCTAAAAAATTTACTGAGCACAACGAAACCACAATATAAACAGGTGAGTTCCATCTCAGCATAACGGCATCACTTCATGTATCAACCCTGTCTAATCCAGCTTACTTAAGACTTCTGTGATGTAAGTAGAATCAACTACATGTTCTATTGGACTAAAATATTTTCATTCTAGTTAATAACCATGAATGCCAAAATTGCACTCAAGTATCTCTGCAAACATGAAAAGGTGAAAAGATATTTAGATGTTTTAAACTTGCTTTTTTGTTGGCAACAGCAGTGCACACCTTTAATCCCAGCACACGGGAAACAGAGGCAGGCAAATCTCTGCGAGTTTGAGACCAACCTGATCTACAATAGCAAGTTCCAAGACAGCCAGGAGTACAGAGAGAGACTCTGTATTGAAAAATAAAAGCTCATTCTCACTAACTAAAAGAGGAAATAAATTTTGTTTATATAATATCCAGGTATCAATTTATCCACCAAAACAGATAGCAAAGTTCCTGAAATTAGCAAAGAACTGACTGATTCCTAAGGTTAGGATTGGAAAGATGCTCAGTAAGGACTCCTAAGGTAAGAACCCAGAGAGCCTACGAGCACTTCCTGTTCTTGCAGAGGATGAGGGTTCCAGTACAGATATGGCAACTACCAACAGGCTGACACTTGTTTCAGAGGATCCGATGCCCTCTTCTGATTCTCAGACATACATGTAGGCAAGGACACACATATACATAAAACAAAACTAAGTGAATCTTTAAATTTTTCTTTAATTCTAACTTAAACACTAACTTTTTGACTCATCCCTAAAATAATAAAAGTATTAACCAAGATTTAGAAATTTAGTGAGGTAGCTCAAAAATCAATTCTGTCTGAGAGGTGCTTTGGAGTAATCAAATGTAACGTTATGGCCCAAACAGCTCAGTGCCCTCTTCAGACTGTCTTGTCTCACCTTTCAGCTTCCACAGGTAGCATGATTCTTCAGCAAAGGAACTCTGAGTATTTTACAACCCATAAGGTGTTTGTTTTTCAGACTATGCTACTTAAAAGTGAGTTGTTCCCCATACTTTCTTTCCTGTAAGCAAGATCATGGATGTAGTGATGACTTTGATCACAAATACAAAACACATCTTCTAGGGGCAATGGAATGGCAATGCGTAAGGAACAGTAGTGCCACATGGCCAAATCTGCCTACTTGCCATGAGCCATTTATGTCTGAACATCTGTCAACTCTTTCAACATTTAATTATTGCTTTTTAAAAAGCTTCTTGTTAGAGTAGACTCACCCATAAACAATATAATTCTGTTAAAGTGATAAAACCATGAAATTAACAAACCCATGAGTAACAGCACTACAATATTGAAAGGTATAAAGCAAGCAGCAGAATGGGGGAGCAGACCATCAGGAAACACTAAATGAAGAGGAGGCTGTGAAGCTGCTGATTCTATACCACAAGTGCAGCAACGCCGCCTAGAGTGCAAGGGTCTGGAAACAGCAGTGATGATGTGTTAAAGAAATCTGAATCAGGAACATAAGAAGTCTACATAAGAAGCAAGTAGACTGAGCCGTCATTTCCATCACCATGGCTTCTTGCTAAAGAGGCCTCTGTGGTCCAGAAGACACTGAAATAGCTAAGGGCAGAAGTCAGCAATCTAAGCTAGAGGATTAGAGGCTGTTTATGGGCAAAACTCTGAAACATTCACCTCCTTCCCTACCTAGCTCTCAGAATTCTGGTAACAAGGACATATAAACAGCTTAAAATATTCCTTTCTGAGAAATCTAATCAGATCAAAAGAAAGCCTTAAAAATGACTTAAATTCCCTGAAGAATGGCAAAGCCACATTAATCTACATTAAGAACTTGACTAGCAAGGAAGGCTTCAGCACCAGCGCAGAACTTCTTTGTCAAGGAGCATAGAGACTGTACTTTAGAAGAACCCAGACTCAAGAAAAAGGAAACTATCTTGTCTACTTCCCATATCCAGGAGGATAGCTATATGTTTTTCTTTGGGTTCACCTTCTTATCTAGCTTCTTTAGGATAACAAATTATAGACTCACTGACCTTTATTTATGGCTAGAACCCAATTATGAGTGAGTATATCCCTTGTTCATTTTTTTGGGTCTGGGTTACCTCACTCAGGATACTATTTTCTATTTCCATCCATTTGCATGCAAAATTTGAGAAGTCATTGTTTTTTACCACTGAGTAGTACTCTAATGTGTATATATTCCACACTTTCTTCATCCATTCTTCCATTGAAGGACATCTAGGTTGTTTCCAGGTTCTGGCTATTACAATAATGCTGCTATGAACATAGTTGAACAAATGCCCTTGTCATATGATCGGGCATCTCTTGGGTATATTCCCAAGAGTGGTATTGCTGGGTCCAGGGGTAGGTTGATCCCGAATTTCCTGAGAAACCGAAACACTGCTTTCCAAAGTGGTTGCACAAGTTTGCATTCCCACCTGCAATGGATGAGGGTACCCCTTCCTCCACAACCTCTCCAGCAGAGGCTATCATTGGTGCTTTTGATTTTAGCCAATCTGACAGGTGTAAGATGATATCTCAAAGTTGTTTTGATTTGCATTTCCCTGATTGCTAAGGAGGTTGAGCATGACCTTAAGTGTCTTTTGGCTGTTTGAACTTCTTCTGTTGAGAATTCTCTGTTCAGATCAGTGCCCCATTTTTTAATTGGGTTAATTAGCATTTTAAAGTCTAGTTTCTTGAGTTCTTTATATATTTTGGAGATCAGACCTTTTGAGGGCCAGACAAAAATCGGGATCTTAAGGGTGGGGTGGGAGGGGGGTAAGGGGAGATGGGGAGAGAAAAGTGAGAAGGGTAGGATGGGGAGAACTTGGGGCAACGGGATGATTGGGATAAAGGAAGGTTGGATGGGGGAGCAGGGAAGCACATATCTCAATTACGGGAGCCATCTTAGGGTTGGCAAGAGACTTGGACCTAGAGGGGCTTCCAGGTGCCCAAGGCAAGGTCCCCAGTTAGTTCCTGGGGCATCTGAGGATAGGGAACCTGAAATGACCCTATCCTAGAGCAATACTGACGAATATCTTGCATATCATCATAGAACCTTCATCTGGCAATGGATGGAGATAGAGACAGAGACCCACACTGGAGCACTGAACTGAGCTCCCAAAGTCCCAATGAGGAACAGAAGGAGGGAGAACATGAGCAAAGAAGTCAGGACCACAAGGGGTGCACCCACCCACGGAGACAGTGGGGCTGATCTATTGGAGCTCACCAAGGCCAGCTGGACTGTGACTGAAAAAGCATAGGATAAAACCGGACTCTCTGAATATGGCGGACAATGAGGGCTGCCGAGAAGCCAAGGACAATGGCACTGGGTTTTGATCCTACTTCATGTCCTGTCTTTGTAGGAGCCTAGCCAGTTTGGATGTTCTCCTTCCTAGACCAGGATGGAGGAGGGAAGACTTTGGACTTTCCACAGGGCAGGGAACCCTGACTGCTCTTCAGGCTGGAGAGGGAGGGGGAGAGGAGTGGGGAGAGGGGGGGAGGAGTGGGAGGCTGGGAGGAGGCGGAATTTTTTTTTCCCAATAAAAAAATAAATAAATGAATAAAAAAGAAAAAGGAAACTATTAGAAAGAAACATCAAGTAACTCAACTTTTGGCAACATTGATGAAGGCTGAGATAAGCACAAAAATTAAATATAAAAAGAATTATTAATTTTAATACAACAACAAAGTAAAAAATTATACTGTATCTACCATTTAACATCATAAAAATACAAATATTAAATATGAATTAATCAAAGTAACACCAAACAATGTATTGCAAGTATGGGAAGAGTACATCTATGCACTATAGCCAGAAACAGAGAAAATAATGGCCATCAAAAAATCAGAAAGCACGGGAAGATAAATATGGCTTTATGGATACAAAATGAACAGGTAACAAAGCAGTCAAATTGCAGAAACCGCTGCCTATGGTGTAAGAAAAGAACATAGAGGATAGATAAGGCAAGTATTGGTTTTCAAGGCAAAATTTTACAAACTCCCCCCTTCATGCTATGTCTATTATAATTTTTATAAAAAATTAAAACAGGGGGCTGGGGAGATGGCTCAGAGGTTAAGAACACTGGCTGTTCTTCCAGAGGTCCTGAGTTCAATTCCCAGCAACCACATAATGGCTCATAACCATCTGTAATGAGGTCTGGTGCCCTCTTCTGGCATAGAGGTGTATTGTATACATAATAAATAAAAAAATATATTTAAAAAAATTTAGAACATACATGGGAGCAGAGACAGGAGTATACTGAGATACAGAATAGTTCAACTATATAAATTATTAAACAGCAAAAAACCAAACTGGGATAAAAAGAACTTAAAAAAATTCACTCAATTAAAATAAGTCCAATCAAGTTTTTACTTGGCTTAAGACTAATTGTAACTTTTGTTCATATATTCATTTATGTTACACAACTCACAAAACAATAATTTCTATTTTTCTGTCACATCAACTACCCAAAATACACTAACATTTGAGTTTTTCTATCAGGGTTCTCATTCTTTTTTTTCCTCCCCTCTCTCACTTGCAAAGCTGCGGTCTCTGGGAGCTTTTCATTTCAGAGAAAAGGGACAGTGGGTGAGCAGGTGCCCAAAAGAGCAACATAAGGAACACAGACAAATTCTCCTTCTCAAGGGAACAATTGTTTCCTGAAATGTATCTCCTCTTCAAAGATGTTCTCTGGAACAACTTGTGTGTTCCAGAAAGACAATTACAGACAGAAGCCAATGAAAGGTGATGACTCATGGCCAGAAAAAGTCACCTCTTCACAGCTAAAAAATTTGATCAATTTAGAAAATATTATTTTATGAAAATATTAAGTATAAAAAAGCTAAAAGGTCTTAGACTTCATCTACATAATATTTCTGAATATAGAAAAGCACCTCTCTACAGTGCTTTGGCACTACATTAGAGAAGCTTCACTGGTGACTAATAGACTACTGACAGCCATTCCCTGAGAGAAGTACAAGGCAAGCACTCTGGCTAAACGCAGTCGATCACTGCAAGTGGTTTCCACTTAGTTGCTGAGTAATGGGAATAATTCAGAATTATTTAGTATAAATAAATTACAGAAATAGGTGTATCAAAATGAGCCTACAGCAGCAGGCATGGCTGTGCTCGCAGCACTCAAGCAGCAGAGGCAGGTGGGGTCTCCGAGTCGAAAGGTTGTCTGGTCTACACAAAGGGAGTCCCCGGCCAGCTGGAGTGAAACATATACATATACAGCAAAACCCTGTCTCAAACAGATAAACAAAAAAACCCTTACAGGGGCCAATTACCAACACCCACATAACAATTCACAGTTGTGTGTAACCCCAGTTTCAGGGGACCTAAGACTCTTCTCTGGCCTCTGCAGGCACCAGGCATGCAAGTGCACAGGCACAGACACAAGCAGAATGTCCATACACATAAAAAATTTTAAAGAAACTTATAAATAGTAATCAACATGAATGATTACAAAGAGAAAAAAGTTATTTTTCTTTAAATGACAGTTCCAAAACTTTCATAACAGTTTGAAGGAAGACAAATTTTTTTGCATGATTTGATTTTGAATAATTAACTGCCCAGGGCCATCCAAACAAAACAGAATATCCTGTACTAATTCATACAGAAATGGTTTAAGAACTGAATGACCAGCGACCAGAGAATGCCTCCATGGTCCTCGTCACCTACCTGAAGTTTTTCACGTGGTCTTCCACCCCAGAGAGACGAATTGAATGCTGCAGTGCACTCAGGTAAGTCAGGGCTTGAGTGGACGATCCCCAGTTCACATCTGTGGGAAAACAGGGTCACACAGTGTGATACCAACAGCAGCCAATTCAGACATATGGGATTGACAGTAAATAGGGCAGAATCTTCATGTTTATAAGTCAATTGCTAAAATAAAGCACTATTCTATAACTAGGCATAGTTCCAGTATATAGAAATATATGAAGATATCATATCTGTCGACGCAATTTAAAAAGGCATAACCTAATAAGGGCATGATGATGGCATGTTCACATAACTCAGAACAATCTCTCAACAATAAAATATTTAAAATTATTCATTCTGTAGCTGAAGGCATATTTTAAGTACAGTAAATACATTCAAGCTATTTAAACATGAAAATGTCTTCTACTATTGAATAAAAAGGTTGGTCCTTAATTTTAAACACATTAATATATGCTTAATAGGTATTTTGAAGGAATAATTGCTCTTAAAAAGTTAAAAATATAGCTCCTTTGCCCTTTCACTTCTACAGCCACCGTCTGAATCCAAAAGCTCATCACTTCACATCCACACTGAAATGTCTCATCGCTGCTGTAAACTGCTGGACCTGCTCCTTCTCAGATTATGCCAGTGGACCAAACTCTCCTGTCTTTTTTACGCTAGATCTTTTTCTGTACACTGAAAAAAATCCTAATAGCCCTCACCCTCATCACCTTACATGGAGATCTACCTAGACATCATCAATGTGGAAGATGATAATCACTAATTATTTCTCAGTTAAGAACATTCGTTATTAGCTGGGCAATGATGGTGCACAGCTTTAATCCCAGCACTTGGGAAGCAGAGGTAAATGGATCTCTGTGTGTTCAAGGCCAGTTGGTTTACAAAGTGAGCTCCAGGACAGGAAAACCCTGTCTCAAACAAACACACAAATACACAAACTATATATATTTACTTTCTTTGGGAAAGACACATCTTCCCAGTGCCTGAACTCTTTGCCATACAGCAGCTCTAAGATGACAAGAGGCTACATATGTGTGTGTCACACATGCAAACATACACATACATATTTCGCTAGTAGTTACTAGAGTGCTGCAAATCTGGAACCTTCAGGACAATTTTAAAACATAACTACAACAGAATGTTAGTTTATTATTTTTCTTAAAAAAGGTTAGTCACATTTAATTCATGGGTGAGAATGAAATTCTATAGGAATAAAACATTTTAAATGTACTTTAAAAACAAAAAAATTATTTGGAAAGAAGGTTTTGTAAGTTTTGCATGTAACACCTTTTCAAATATACAAAAGATGCTTGAATAAAAAGTAACAAGAATTTGTCGACATTTTCTAAGTAAAACTACTAAGCAGAAAAGACTACTGACCTGGTTTTTTGTAGGTAACATAAATATACAGTCCGAGAACTATCACGTAGGTGAGCAAGGCCGCCCACCAGTTAATGACAAACATGACGATGCAACACAGAATGGCTCCAAGAAGGGAGATCCACATGTTGTAGTACTTGAATGCAGGACGCCATCCTAACAATGACAGACAGAAAACGTAATCAGAGTTTTCACCTGCTTTACACAGTGACACTAAATTATGTATAAAATAGTTTTTATTATGGTTGCCACACTCAATTTTAAGTTCAAGGATAACATCAAACAATAAAGTCAATGACTATTATTGAGCATAACTGGTTTTGATAATTCTTAGTGACTGTGAAGATAATATTTTCCTATTACTGCATCTTCTCAGACCTTCAGTCAATACAATCTTTGACATTTTAAATCAACCCATCATAGTGAACACTACAGAAGCACCATAAAAAGGAAAGACTTCATGTAGACTTGCTCCTGGGTGGAGCAGCTTTCCCCTCTGGTCATCAGCATGAGACACAGCCATGTTCTAATGAATTTACTAAACATTTCAAACAACCTACCCATGTAACTAAATCTTGGTGTGACTCCAAGAAATTCATACCTTTCCATTAGTATTAGTTACATACTAATAATATATATAAATTAATAAAATATAATGAATTAAAAACTACTCATAACCTTATCACTAATAGTCAAAAATACTTTTTATTTAAAATTATTTCAATAAAATTTTATTTTGAAAGTAAAACTGAAGCTAAGACATGTGTTCATACTTCCTTTCCTTTTGAAAACCCCACCTGCTACTGGCCTGTTCTGTACTTAAATCCTTCTGTACTTTCCATTCTCTTCCTGATTTTAGCCCTGCCCCATTTAGAACACAAGCAACATGGTACTTTTTCAGTTGACAGAGGCCCCTATGCTAGAATTCTACAAAATTCACTGTGCAAAAACATGTTGGGGGCTGGCACTTAGGCTCAGTGGTGAAGAGTGTGCTGTGATTATCATGCCTGGAGCACCAGCTCAATTCTCAGTACCAAAAATTCTGAACAGTTATTAAATAATGACAAAGTTATGAGAACTGAATCAGATAAGCAAATAGTAAAGAAATTCTCAAAATAGGACTAATTCTTTAATATGCCAAATGCTGTTTAATGTTTTGAAAAGAAACAGCTTATTATCAGTGTACTTCATAACAAAAGATCTCTGAGCACTGAATTTGACATAATTATAAAAGAAAACAACTATAATTATAAAAGAAAACAACTCTAATGAGCTAAACTCACAAACACCAAATTTAGAAAACTAGAAATTTTGTTTTCTCAGAAATCATAGCCATTAGCATATACAACTTTCTAAAATGTGAAATCACCTGGAGATTTTGCAAGTGATGCATGGAACACTGAAAAATTGATTAACGCATATGAGGCAAGGAAGAAATTTGAGATAATTGGAGCAATAACATTCAATTCAGCTGCAAAAGAAACAAGAAAAAAATTAATGTATTTAAAACTACAAATTCTGAAATATTAACTTTTAAATAGCATAATAAATACCCCTAAATCTACCACAGACTGATACTAATATCCTGCTATCACAACTGATGGCATAATCAAGTTTCAATCAACTAATTTGAGGGTCTAGACAATTCTTTAGAAAGCCTAATGTTATCTTTAGAATAATCAACAGGATCCACAGCTTTGCACATGATCACAAAGAGGCATTATCTTCCTGGGCACACTAGTACCCTTTTCCTACACTATCATATATTTTACGAGTACATGCTTACAATCCTAGTCCTTGGGAATAGATGCAAGACCATCGGGAATTCAACAGTATATTCGACTACAATTGTGAATAATAGGAGGCCACCCTGAGCTACATGAGTCTTAAAAAAAAAAGTGTAACCTCCTCTATTTCCTCCATCCCTAATTTCATGTAATAGCAACAATTTTAGTAAATAATATCTGTCACTATTATTTGCAGTATTTTACTTACTCTTCTTTGATTAGAAATTAATTTAGTGCACTAAAGCAAGGCACATTTTGTTAATAATTTGATATTCATGATTATAGGTAATGCTATATATAAACATACCAAAACCTATATAATATATCCTTCATAGAACTAACCAATTAGGATGAATCCAAGTGCAATTAAGAATGTTAAGATGTAACCACGAAGAGGTTCGTTATTTTTTCCATAACCTTTAGCAAACATCTGGAAAGCTGGGTAGATATTGTCCTTACATAGAGCCTAATAAAAGAATACAAACATTAAAATGAAATACATGAAAATTAAGATACACAAATCTGCTAACAGTTAAAACAGGTTAATAATGAATTGGAGCCCGTGTCTCTTATTTCCGATGCTTTTTGTTTCTTGTCTCACAGTGTTTCACCTACAGACTATAAATAAGGGCTAGGTAAAATAGTTCAAATAGCACAAGGGTAGTTTGTTTATATAACACTGCTTAAGATGTTGTCTTACCCCACCCCATGTGGAAACTCTTCCTTTGAAGAATCAGCAAAGCAGACATTTGAAATAATAGTACAATAAAAAAGAAAATTGGAAGCTGGTAAGTACAATACAGTGTACCTATGACTTTAAGAAACTAAGTTCAGGGATGCTGGAGGGATGGCTCAGAGGTTAAGAGTACTGACTAGTCTTCCATAGGACCTGGGTTCAATTCCCACCCATGTGGCAGCTCATGTGTATGGCTATTCATGATTGTCGGTGACTCTTAAGATTTGACACCCTCACACAGACTTACATGCAGGCAAAACATTAATGTACATAAAATAAAAATAAGTAATTTTTAAAAAAGAAACGTTAGGTCCAAATCTGAAACATAAAAGTAGATTTAAAACCCTAATTATAAAGTTTAATCACTTTTCTTTAAATCTTAATAGATGCTACCTTAAAAATCATATTCTACACTATTACTATACTTTTTTTGGCTATAAATATAATATTAAGAACAAGGATAGAAATTTAACACTTATATGACTTAGTAATTAAAAATATCCAGTATTAGCTACTTATGATCACTACAAGGAACAATGCTCATTCTAGTTATCACTGTACCTACTACAATTACTGTAATGTTAGCCACATAAAATATTTAAGTTGGCAACATGCTAACTGAAACTATTATTTACTACTTCTGATTAGTCTTAGACTGCACTCCTAAGAACCCTAGACTTTTATGCTAAGTATGTCAAAAACTCTTTTATCCCTAAAATACTTACTTTGGTCATTTTTAATTATGTATATGTCTGGAGTCATAAGTGATTATGAGTAACCCAATGTACAATCTGGAAACGGAATTTGGATCTTTTGCATGAGACCATACAATTGAGCCATCTCTCCAGATCCTCAAATCATCCTTTCTAAGCATATACCATGACACTAGAAAAATGCACAAATGTTTGTATGGATCCACATAGCATTTATATACATAAAATTTATACCAGTTTTAATATACGTATAGGCAAACATAACAAACATGTGAGATTGATAAAGGTAACCTACGTGAATATAGCAACAATCCAAAAATTGAAATGTCTTAACATTCCCCCAATAAAAATTATACTATGAAACATTTACCTGAAATATTTTGGGAGCACTCACGAGAGAGGCTAGAGCTGATGAAAGTGTGGCTGAAAAGATACCTGCAGAGATCAAGGGTGCAAACCCTGACACCATGCTCATCACCTAAATGAAGTGGCAGAATTGCAAAAGAAGTCTTAAAAACGGTTGACAAAGAGCAGAGGATTGAATAGTCACAGTTTGAAGATTCTAATAAAGGAAACTAATACTGGGGAAATCTTAGAGTAGTTTGGTAAATAGCATGAAGAAGTAAAGTACAAGTTATTAAAACAGATTTACCACTAAAAACCTCTCTCTTGTAAATTTCCAAATGAACATATGACAGAAAAAAGAGGATGATGAAGCGCCACCTGTCACCAGGTTCCAATCACGGACAACTGGGCCCGAGCCCACATCATTTGCAGCCCTACATTTTTAATGCATAAGGTTCAGTGTGTGTCTGTTAACAGGCAGACATTTGGAAATTGTAGCTAAAGCCGCTGGCCCGGCTTAATTTGGCCAGCCCATCACAGTAACACACATCTAGTTACCAATCAAATTGCCTCAATTGTCCCCATTGTCCTGGTCATTTCAAAACAGGCTTTTTATTTTTTTTAAATCAGCTCTCAAAAATGATTATTATATTTGGGTGATACAGTTTTTCTCATACTCGATCTCTCACAACCCTCAGTTTATCATGGGCATGGTCACTGTGTTAATGCAAGACGCAGGTGTGTGCATACTGCTACCATTCGCTACCTCCACTCAGTGCTTCATTTGGAGAGCCATCTTGCCTTTCATCTTTGCTGCTGTGTTGTGCTGCACTGATATTACCAGTGGTTTTGTTGAGTATCACTCTGTCCAGTCTCACCATTAGTTTTAGAGAATGCCAAATATTAAACTGCAGAGCCAGAGTTTAGTTGGCTTTTCATTTCCCAATACTAAGCATAGGGCATTGATGTTGATTTGTGTAAAGGACAACACAACCAGAGAATGAGCCTGATTCATGAATCGTCTCAAGAGTTTATTTACTCTTTCATGTATTTTCCATTTGCCTAGTTAGTGATAAACAGAAAGTAACAACTGTCTTCCCTTCTAATGTATAGCTATATTCTAAATGGCCAGATTTCATAGTGGTCTAATCCCTAGATAAATACAGAATATCTTTATCATTGATAGAATGTCAATGCTTACCTGAAAGTTGTTCATTAGTCCATAATAACAAGGACTGCTTTCACAATAGGAAAAGTCAAAGTTTAATTTGCAGGCTGCAGAAGTACAGTTCGTTAGCTCTGTGGTAATGGTATCATTAACATTCCCAGTGGCATCCCGAACAACACAAGAACCTGAAGCACAAGCAACAGTCAGAGTAACTCATACACGCATTCCTCTTAAAATCCTACACCCATTCATAAAGAAATCACAGTACTGTCTAGGAACATATTCATAATAGCATACACTTCATGCATATGCACCTTTATTCTGAAGGAAGTAAGAAACTTTGTGGTCACTAAAATTTAAGTAATCAAACTAAACATTCTATTAAAAAAGTGCTACATTTCAGGCATTTTATAAGTGGTGGGAAAACTTGAATAAATATTTCAATCATCATTTTTTTTCTCTGCCTTTCAATCATGTTGCCAAAAGCATCTACCTCTAAATGCACCTCTGAACTATTACAGGACTACAGAGAGAGAGAAAACACTTAAGTCTCCAATCAGCTTGAGAGCAGGCATACTTTCATGTTCTGTGCATCACATTTACAAGGAAAATCCTGAGCACCAGGACCACATGTGTGTGCTGTACCTGACAGCTTGGGGATAGAGGTTCTGTTTCTTTGAACTAGCTACACAGGCACTGGTACTGAGTGAGCTCTTTCCCAGCCCTCTCCTGAACACCAGGAAGAAGGGTCAGTTCCCCTGCTCACTGAGGACAGACAGAATGAAGTCAATGTGAAGTCTAGCAAGACCAAAGGGTCAGACTAAATAGCAGAAATGTATCAATGGCAACAAAAGATTTTAAAAGTTGGAACATAATCAGTTATGCTACTAGTTAAATTAAAAACAAACCTTATTTAGCTAGGCTATATATTATATAAGCATATTTAAAAGTTTAGGTAAGCACTTGGTTTTTGCAGATGAATTTTAGAAATATGTATTAAAAATAAATTAAATCCAAAATCATTTTTAAAACACAATTTGGTCCATCATGATATTGTCAGCATTTCTAACTTTTGTTCAGCCAAATTTCAAAATTACCTTGAGAAATAGCAATAAAATTCTGAAATAGAATTGTCACTATTTCTGAACAAAACAATGAAAAAATGTGGTAAAATTTAAATTATTCTTAGTAAAATATACATGGACCCCTCTTAACATGAGATTAACAAACTCGGAACTTATATTTGTATGAGCATAAAGAGGTACATGCACAACAGTGTGCTGGGCCTCCCAAATCTTTACAACTTTAAAGAGTAAAACTTACCTCCATGTGTGAATACAGCATATATGTTCAAATAAAATGGGAGTTTACAGGTACCATTTTACATATATTTTACATATACTTAGTATAATAAATAAATGACAGAAAGGACCCCACAAAGCATTTGGTGGTTTTATGTCTCTGTAAGTCGCCACTAGTCCTTAAGCGGCCTTTGCATTAAAACAGGCAACTGATTCTGTGCCTTTTTACCTAAACTATTTTGGAATGTTCAAGTCAGAAAACATGCTATGAGCATCACAAAATTTCTAAGACATATAAAGAAATGAAGGTTATTTACCTACGGACACTGCAATTCCTATGTAAACCACTGTAGTAATTAAAATGGCTAAAAGTGTTCCTTTGGGTATGGCTGACTGAGGGTCCTAGAAGACAAGAAAATTTTTTAGTCTATAAAAATAAACGCATGGAGAGCATTTTTAACATATCAGTAATCAATACAACACTTTATAATACTTACTGCAAGATCACCTGAGATGTTTGCCCCAGCTAGAATACCAGTTGCAGCAGGGAAAAAAATGGCGAACACAGAAAAGAAAGTCTCTTCGTCTCGGAAATCTGGTCCAAAGTTCTCATTAAATATTTCAGCTACAGAGGACAAAACATTGCATCAGTTGCTAGACAGCAAATGAGAACAAAAGAACTTAAGTCAAGAATAATTAGTATATATGGTCTCCCCACAATGGGTCATTTTTACTTAATGCTAATTCAGTATCTGTGCTCCTATTATCTGATGAAATTGTTTGCTATCAAAATGGTGATGTAATCTAGGATATGCCCTACCTTTTGATACCTTTTATGAGTAATTGTTTAAGAACCTCCAAACTTGACTGTCATCACTAACTCAAATGAAAATTACAAGTATAGATTACTGACCCACTTTCCCAGACTTCAAACTAAGAAAACACAAGAAAGGAGATAGGGAAATAAAAGGAAACACACTGATCTGGAGCCAGCCTCTACCCTACTCTCCAATACCCACTTCCATTATCACCTATATAGACTAAAAGAAATGGTTTAAAGGAGCAATTAAAAAATAAAAAGATAATCTCCTGAAGTTACTTCAAACTATGAGACTAGATAACACCAAAATAAAGAATATAGGTGATGGGCTTATATGATGAACACAACTGTGTGCACGGGAAGGAAAAAGAGGATTGCAGCAGTTTTGTCAACTTGACAAGCTGAAGTCATCTGAGAGGAGGGAACCTTAATTAACAAAATGCCTCCAGAAGATCAGGCTGTAGGTGAGCCTGCAGGACTTTAATTAGTCATTGATGGGGAAGGACCTAGCCCACTCTAAGTTATAGACAGAAGTTTCTCTCCCGCCCAGTCCCAGAGTCAGTCCCAAATAAACACACAGAGGCTTATATTAATTATAAACTGTTTGGCCTATTGTTCAGGCTTATTACTAACTACCTCTTACAACTTAAATTAACCCACAATTCTGATCTATGTTTAGCCATGTGACTTGGTATCTTTTCTAAGTAAAGTGTTCTCATCTTGCTTCCTCTGCATCTGGATGATAACTCCATCTCTGCTTTCCTCTTCCCAGAATTCTCTTAGTCCGGTTGCCCCACCTATACTTCCTGCCTGGCTACTGGAAAATTAGCATTTTATTAAACTAACATGAGTGACAAGTCTTTACAGTTTACAGTAGGTGGTGCCATCCCTGGGCAGGTGGCTGTGGGTTCTTTAAAAAAGCAGGCTGAGAAAGCCATGAGGACCAAGCCAGTACTTGGCACTCTCCATGGCCTCTGCATCAGCTGTCTTCAGGTACCTGCCCTGTTTGAGTTCCTGCCCCAACTTCCTTCTCTGATGAACAATGATAGGGAAGTGAAAGCCAAATAAACCCCATCCACCCCAAGTTGCTTTGGTCATGGTGTTTCATCATAGCAACAGAAACCCTAACTGAAACAGAGGGTAAGAGGAGTAATAGAGCAGTCAATGGGTCAAGCAGAACATCAATTGGACAGCCAACAAGGAAAGACTTTCAAAAAGGAGAAGACTCTGACTAAAGAAGACAGAGCAATCTATGCTGCTCCACGTCATTGTGACTTGACAGACTGATGGATTACTAATAAAACCATCTGGCTAAAGTCAACTGGGGGCAAGGCTAAGCACTGTCTCAAAGTATTGTTTATTAGCTGACAACCAATGGCAACTTCCCAACCAAGAAGCCTCTTAGTCCTCACCTTAATAAAGACATAAAAATTAACATCAAAAGTAGGGAAAGCTAGTTCACTCTGACCCCCTATTCTGGGTGCTGAGGACACACTGCTTTCTGGCTAATGTAAATAACCCAGCTGGAGAGAAGACCCCCCCAACATACACACACACACCACACACACCTATTATCCTGAAAACTATCAAGATGAAAAAGCCTAATGAGACTGAGGATTACGTCTTGAGTCAGTTTTGTTTTGTTTTAAAAAGGAAAGTGAACAACTTAATGCAACTGATTCTGGACAAGGAACCTGCAGTTGCTATTAGGATCCTCATGAAACCTGAAAAACATCTATGCATCGTGCCAAAGAAAAAATTCCTGAATAGCCCTTTTCCGTAGTGGATATGTGCTATAGTATTTAGAGATAAGAAGTCAGTATTTTGGCCACTTTCATCGGCTTTCACAATTCACAGCACTTTTAAACTGGTATGTTTTTAAAAAAAGTCACATGCCAAGTAGCATTTTGGTCAATGATGGGCAATATACTTAAAGGGGTCTATAACTCTATGATGTCATCGACATCTTAGTTTGGGTAGGTATACCTTCAGATGCTTGTGCAGCAATAAAATCATCTAAAGATACATTTCCCACATCCCCATCACCAAGAAACACATAACTAGATGTATAATGAGAGCCATGCAGGCACCTCCTTCTTAGTACCACTGGCTTCTCTATACTGAACCACCTGTTTTGCTATCATTGAAAAACAAGATGAAAACGAAGCAATTTTACTCTAATTGTACAGTCTATTTAAAGAGGACAAAACTGAATTATGAATCAGTGTGAATCACCAGACCAAACTTAATCACTATATAAAATACCTAAAATATACTTAGTTAACAGCAGAGTGCTGTAATTTGCATTCTTAACAAAGTATCCATCCTTTATACTTACATTTATAGCCAAAGAACCCCTTGGGCTTCTTGCTCTCCAGTGAGATAAACGTTCCTATGACAAAGTCAGCGATGGCCAGCAGAAGAATCACCAGGAGGACGATCTGAGCCTACGGTTCAAACCCTGAGAGTCACAGTCTATCTCCACATTCTCCTCCATTACAGACTGCCTGTCTCCTGCACTTTCCTCCAGTATAGACAATCTGTCTCGTTTTGCCTTTCTGCCAAATGTCTTAACGGATGCAACGCATCAGTATAAGTATCAGTAGATATTCAATAAATGCTGTTACATGAATAACAGCTCTTAAAGAACTTTCTTAAAGTCAGGGCAGGGCCATGAGCCTGAAGTTCCCATCTGTCAGGAAGCTGAGGCAGAAGGACCACAAGTCTGAGACTAGTGAAACTCTGAGTAAGACCCTGCCTCAAACAAAACTATCTGAGAATGGCTAATTATGGGTAGAATCATGCCACTCATTTCTACAATAAGCCCTAAACATTGTTATATCACCAGCCAAGTCACAGGCTTTTCATTCTATAAAGCCCTCCCCACCAAGACTAAGGTCTCAACAGGGAGAATATGCTTGTGAGCAACACGAGTTTCAGAGCAGGTCCAAACACAGTGGTGTGTCTGCCTGCAATGCTGCAGGAAAGGAGGAAAGAGAGAAAAACGTGCCAAGTGGGGGAACTCAGGGAACAGTGACACTGGGGGGGGGGGGGGCAGAAAGCCCTTAACACAAACTTTTCTCTAACTTTAGCTACTCAAAAAAGGTAGGCAGATACTATTCGCAACCAAAACTTTTTAGAAAGTATTTTCAAATATGATTACTATGGGAAAGGGAGCCACATGCGCTGCAGTTCATGTGTGGATCCCGGGGACAACGTTAGGGAGCTGGGTCTCTCCCTCCACCTGCCTGTGGCTTCCAGGAATCCAACTCAGTCCCCAGGACATCCTGTAACAAGTACCTTTACCACTCAGCTGTCTCGCTGGCCCAGCAAGAATTCTTACACATTAACTATGACCCAAGTAGGTGTTTTCAATAAAGTCAATGTGCTACATGAGTAAATAAATGAAGGACTGGAATATACTCAGTTGTAGACAAAAAGTCTATCATGCAATGGGCCTTAGGTGCAATTCTTAATTACTCAAGGATGAGCAAAGTAGTGTTTAACTGAATTTAAAATGGGTTATCTTTAAGTATATCATTTTAAATTCCAATAAGCTATATACCATAAACTTCTATAAAAATGGCTACCTTTCCACTAGATTCTGAAAATCAGTTTTAGTTTCACAAAACTTGGGTTTTTTGGAGCAAATGCTTAGAGATGCTCTGCCACGACTTACCTTGGCTTCCCACTCCATCCCAGCTACTGAGATGCCCAGCAGAATCACTACTGTGATGGCTCCAATAATTCGGATGTCATTGATTTCATCTATCATAAGTATGGAATGTTCCTACAAAAGAGAAAAAGCTGTAGACATTCAATCAATGCTTATTAAGGGAATAGACAGAGTATGCCTGTGTTCCCAGCATGTGTGAGTCAGAGGCAGAAGGACTATCAAAATTTCAAGGCTTGCCTGGTTTATACTACACATTCTCAGTAGTCACACTACAAGACCTTGTCTCAAAACTAAGTACTAATTACCATCAGTTGTCATTCAGGTACCTTATATTTCTAATTGAATTACACATGCTAGTACATCTGATATGGACCCAATAAATCAAGAAGAGCAATTACCAATCAAGGAAATTATAATCTGACTGGCACAGTTAGGTTTTATAAAGTGACACAACAGAAATGTGTTCTGTGTTTGGTATGATTAGTGAACCCATGTTTTAATGTTCTTTTATGATATAAAAGGGAAAAAGAATAAACCTTCATGCTATTGTCAAAACCACACAGTTCCTATTACATAAGCAAATTACTTATAAGTGTTAATAATGTTGGCAGCATTTTTTTTTAAGTTCACCAATAGGTTAAGCTGTGTGTGTGTGTGTGTGTGTGTGTGTGTGTGTGTGTGTGTGTCCTGTCAGTGAAGATCTGGCAAGCGAATGACTAGGCCCAATTACCTTAAGCAGCTCCACCACAGTTTCAGCAAATCCAACAACATACATAGCAACTGCCACCGCATTGGCAAAGGCAAAGATCAAGCCAATTGCACCACCAAATTCTGGCCCTAGACTTCTAGAGATTAAATAATATGCTCCTCCTAAGAAAAAGGATGAAAAAGTTAGAGTTTTAAATGCCAACAATTCCTTTAATTATACGAGGGAACTCACAAAACAGATTTAGCCATGTATATGAGTGTATTTTCAGAAGAAATACTCCAGAAGACAGGTATCTGAGCTACTCATGCTTACAGGAAGTACTGTAGTACAGTCAGTTCCATTAATAAAAAAGGAACTTCAGAATTGTCTTTTGTAGCTTCTACAGATATTTCATTGATCTGAAAGTTACAATTTGAAGGAATATACCTATCACAGGAAAGAATATGGAGCTTCCTGCTTGGTAGTAAGTACTAATCATCCACAGTTACACAATGGATTTAAAGACAAAAACTTGACCATCGATATAGCCTGATTTTATTAAGACAGTGCTTTTTGACACATAGTGGAAAATATTAAGGTTTCTTCAATTTCAGTGTTTTGATTTTACTGTTACAAAATGAAGCTTTCAATTATTTCAAAAAATATTTTTGGACATTTGAGACCAGGCTGCATAATCTCCATCAAGTTTAAATTTTAATAAAGCATCCACACAAATTGTTTCCTATCTGGTCCCATTAGTCATACAAATGATGACAGTAATAAACAACAATATTGCATTTATCAAGATAATATATGTCAGAACCATGATATCACTCCCAGTCCCTAGGTGACAAACAATGACTACTACTATTTATTATATGATCTTAAGTCCTTAGAAAACTGGACCTTGCCTGACACTGTTACAAACCCAGCATGTGCCACAAGGTGCTCAAAATTACCTGACTGATTGAAGTACAAATAAAATACACTTCACCTAATCCATAGAATAGGCTAATTCATATTCATTTCGGCAGTAAACTTAAGTAACTTTACATGGTGTTCATCTTGGTGCCTGTGGTAGCTGTATTCAGCTGTAGATGGGAAGAGACTGATCTGTGCAATGGAAGAAGTCAAGTCTGAATGATGAGACTGAGAAGCAGTATTATCTAAGGGCAGAATCAACACAACTCAAGCAAGGCTGGCCAAGTACAAGCTCTCAAGAACACAGACTTGATATACAGAACAGGCGACTTAAAAAGCATGAATGTATCTTTCAGGTTGGGCCTGTGCAAAGGCAACTCACCTCCTCTTACAAACCCATTGGTAGCTATTGCTGAAGTAGACAATCCTGTGATAGTCGTCACGACAGTGGCCATCACTATTACAAGAACGGAGAGACCTTTAAGGAGGAAAAAGAAACCATGAACTTTATATTCCTAAACTTGCCACTTCCTAGAACTAGCAGAGTTAAGCACTGATTTGGACTGTGGTGCTTTGAAAGAGAATAGTCCCGGTATGTTCACATTTTTGAATGTTTGGTTTCTAGTTGGTGGACTGTGTGTGAAGTATTTGGCTTTCGGAGGAAGTGCGGTACTGGGAGAGGGCTGCAGCAGGCCCAGACTCACTCTCTCTGCCTCCTGCTTGTGGGTCACAAGTAAGCTCTCAGTAACTGCTCCAGTGTCATGCATGCTGCCTGCCTGCCATCATGCTCTGAACTATAATGGTTATGTGCTCACTCTCTCAAACTGTAAGCAATCCCTCAATTAAATGCTTTCTTATGTAAGTTTCTTTGGTCATGATATTTCTCAACAGAAAGAGATAAGTAACTAAGACACAGGCCATAAATTACCTAATTCCAATCTCAATTTTGAGAAATAAAGTCAAAACTGTGAAAGTCAATTATGGTAGCAATCTACATAATAAAGGCAACACAGCCCAGTCAGCAACTGCAGAAAGGCACACAGCTAATATAACGTAGATCAAGAGGTGTGAAGCTTCCCTTACCTATTCCAGCTTGACCCACAATCCACGACAATCTAATAAAGAGCATCACACCCCAAATGTTCAACATACAACGTACCTGGGAGAGAAAAAAGGGCACAAGACACAGCAATAAAAATTAAACAAGTCAAAAGATAAATGTGACTGAAACTATGAAAGTGTTTTGAAATCTAACTCCTTTACCTTAAGTTTGTCAAAAGGGCTTACTGAGGGTTTATGTTAGCTGATGTACGTAAGAGCCATCTAAGTACGTTTATAAGTAAATGTGCTCACCAAGAGTGTCAGAAACACAACAGAAGACTATTTTTAAGACTACTGACTGTTTGTTTGTTTTTGAAGACAGGGTTTATTTTTTCTGTGTAGCCCTGACTGTTCTGAAACTCAGAGATCCACCTGCCTCTGCATCCTGAATACTGGGAGGCACTAAAGGCCTGTGCCACCACACCTGGTAAGACTTCAAATCTTAAAGTTACAATTTGTCTTTATCATATAAGTTTTGCCTATGCTTTGATAACATCTGCCATGAATGGTTAAGGCAGAGTTAAGGATTGCATGTACACCAACACAAATGTCAATGGATCACACCATTCCCAAAAATTTAAACTAAGTATTATACTCCCACAACTTGAGCTTATATTAATTTTTTATTCTATGTTCCTCTCTGTGTATTGTTACAACTGATTCAGCACCTGGGAGGCAGAGGCAAAATGAGTTCAAGGTCAGCCCGGTGTAGCCCAACCAGGGCTACCAAAAGCAGAAACTTGTGAGTTTCCAATTCTATCAAGATGATGTGTATAATAATAAACATTTCTCCCCTAATGAACATTAATATCATAAAGGAAAGAATACACAAGGCATTACTGGGTCTTCCATAGTACCCACAAACAAATAGGCAGAAAACCAGTAATTCTCTCGAGAACATGAGCTAGGTTTGCTAATCAACAGGATTGGAACCATAAGCAGGGTCTATGCATACATACTAATACGCCCTTGATCCAGCCGAACTTCACAACCCCTTTACTTTCGGCAGTGTACGTAACCACAGCATCCCTGGTTGGAGTGCTTTCTTCTCCATTTGCAAAACCATCCTCAAAAGGTTCCTGGTTACAGAAAGAAACATGAATGCAAATTAAGAATTAAATAATCTTGAATCACTTGATAAAAAACAAACATAACTAAACATGGTTAACTACACGTAGGATGACAAAAACTTATGAGAATGAAATGTGATAAATTACATAGTTTATTTCTTAGACAGGTTCAAAAATGGGGAGTCTGGTCCCCAGTACAGTGGTACTGGAGATGTGGAACCATAAAAAGAGAGGCCTAGTTCAAGGTCCCTACATCACCAGGGAAGGTACCCTGCCAGCATGTCTTCTGGATGTGGGTGATGTGATACTCTCACCTGCACATGCTCCTTCTACTGCACTATAAAGTGACACAGTAATGGGAAAGTCCTTACCAAAGTCTATAACATGCTGTCTGGGCGTTCATCATTCACAACTGGGAGCCAAATAAGCCTTTCTTCCTAAATAGCTTGACTCAAGTATTTCAATATAATAAAGATAGGTTGCTCAATCAAAGCAATAAAGTAAAAGGAAAACCTAAAATAAGTGTCACTATGACATAAATCCATTTTAATTATTCCAATTTTTAAAATGGGCCTAGTGGTACAAACTTATATTCCAAGCACTCAAAAAGCAGAAACTGAGTTCAAAATCTGGACACCAATATAGGCAACAAAGCATGACCCAGTCTGTACTAATAATGAAAATAACAATAACGAATGTTTTTATACTTTGATGGTATCTGAAGTCTGCAGTGACTGCTGCCTGCCAGATTAATCCAGACAGGACAAAAAATTCAGAGCTACTACTAGGCACGTGGTGGGATGGGCCTGTAATCCCAACACTCAGGAGACCAAGGCAGAAGGACTGTGAGTTCAAGGCCAGCCTGTCCCAGTTCCAGGTAATCTTAGTAAGATTGCATCAAAGATGACAAACAGGCAGATAGTAAGGTTTTGGCTCCTTAGCACAAATTTATATCATCTAGCTGCCATATTCTTTCCCATATCTGAAATATCAACATTAACAATTTAAAATTCCTTTTTTGTTTGTTTGCTTATTTTTCACAACAGGGTTTTTCCATGTAGCCCTGGCTGTCTTGGAACTTGCTCTGTAGACCAGGCTGGCCTTGAAGTCAGAGGTCCAGCTACTTCTATCAGAGCACTGGGATTAAATATAAGCACCACCACTGCCTGGCTTAAAAGTCTTTCCCATCAACCAATCCAGAATATTCCCAAGACTCTTAAGATTCGTTCAGAGCCCCATCTCTACACTGACTCTACATGTTCTTAGTCACTCCGGTCTATTGACTTTTTCAGAAATCACACAGTACATTCTTGCTGTTGGTCTTTCTTTCTTAGGTAAACTTCATGTCTAATGCTGTAGCTCTTAGTTTTTTATTCTCTACTTTATGTCTCAGTGGTTCTCACCATCGGTTCAGTCTTTACTGGGACACACAGGGCCAGACATCTCCAAACTAGTACTTCCAAGACTTAAGGCAAACTGTACAACTCAGGGTAGAAGGAAACGGCTTAGAAGACAGACGCTCTAAGTCTAACATATGACCTTCAACACCATTACCATGGTTTTTAATCCATACTCTCAACACCAGGGAACAAAACACAGCTATATTTTGGGCACTAAATTTTTTTATGAACACAGTCCAACTTTTAAAACTAATTTTAGTGCTTCAACACTAAAGTGAATTATGAATATAATAATGAAAAGAAATGAGTGATGGAAAGTTATGTGTAACCACAGAACCACATCTATATACTTATCCAATCTTCCCTGGCCTCTAGCCTATTACTGTTCTTCTCTTTATGTACACTCCGGTGTAAACATGGCAACTAGCAGTCATTAACCTTAACAGAAATGTGGAGAAATAAGTTTTTCTTCAACGTGACTAGACGTCAGTGCATCACAATCCCAGTTGGGTTTTACTCTCATTGTTAAATGTTTCCCATACAGCAGAGGGGCAAAACTGACTCCAAACAGTAAATAGAAACTCTTAATCCAGATTTCACCATTCCCCCCAGCTGCTCAATTATTCAAATAAAGTCACAAGGAGAAACAAGCCTATCAATTTATTAATCTTGAAGCAAAAAGTCCTTAATTTTCATGCTGCAATAGAAAGCCTATAATATGCACAGAAAAGGAATCTCTTTCCATCTCTGTTTAGAAACTGAATATGTATGTCCCTAATCAGCTACTTTTCCCAAGGCTAAAGTGCAATGTGGGTGTCTTTTGAGCAATGCAAAAGTATGCAGGCATCCTAAAATTTTTGTTGTGGGTGCTTATCAGAAACTCACATGCAAGTTGAAGGTCTAGCAATTATGCTGGTTTCTACCACAGTGTGAATACTGTGAAATACTGTTCAAAAGACAAGTATTTTCTAGCTTTTATGAAATAACTTTAGAAAACTAGCGATGTGTTCACAGAAAACAAAAAGTTACCTTCCTAATCACCCTCTAGCAAACCTCCTTTTAAAGGTTTTAGTATTAATCTCTAAACTACAATATACAACTAAAGCTCGGTGCAGTGGTGCACACCTGCACCCTCACAGTTATGGGGCTGGTCCAATAGCAAGCTGCTGTGAGCCTGAGGCACGCACCCTGAGCTCCAGGCCCGAGCAAGGCTACAAGACAGACCCCAACCAACCATCCAAACAAACATCCAAAGCTAATCAAATAACTGTGCTATTTGTGGCTGAATAAATGGACTGAAGTGTGATGAAACTGGGATCGGAACTAAATTAATTTCCCAAAATAAAAAGAAACCAGAGTTTATTTTGGTGATGTTGGGTATCCAACTCAAGGCTCTACTACTGAGCTCCAGACTCAGTTTTGAGTTGTTTGTTTAATATATGAGCTTTCAAGGAACAAGAAAATCTCAGGAATGACACCCTATACACCTTGGCAAAAATTTACATGAAAACATCACAAGTAAATAAAAGTTCAAATATGAAGCTAAGTAAGATAGGCCAAGACAAAGGTACAAAAATAACAATTTTCAGTATTTACTATCTTTTCCACAATAGTAGGTGGAAAGTAAAAACTATTTAGTGGCATTTTAGTAGGTAGATAAATTAATTTAGCATTATTCTAGGAAATACAGCTCTGAAAAAGTAGCACTGTGATTCTGAGTTTGGAGTCGCAACAGAAATAAACTCAGAAGAGAGGGAGATGGGAAATAATGGAAGGCAGACGGATGTTGCACCTGCTGTAACTGGAAGGATTTCTTATAAAACAAACAGACCCACCAGTGCAACTAAAGAGAGTATGTCAGCATGCCGAGAATCCTAGGACTGGGCTACAAGATTATTCATCTGAATTCAGCCTGGGCTACAAAGCAAGATTCTGTTTAAAGGGAAATTGATGAAAACAACAACAACAATAAAACAACAACATTCAAACGAAGTGTAGAATAAGGGGGCTAAGAGACAAGAGAATCTATCAGGCAGCTTAAAAATCCATGAATGGATCTTAGAAGAGGGGCCAGGGATAAACAGCCAGTAGGTGAGTGCATGGGAACAAAGAGACACATACAGAGAGAAAACATGGGCGGGGTGTGTTTCTAAAGATTCAGAAAAGACAAGAATGGAAGAATTCTAGCTCCCATGGTTATTGTTTCTTTGCAGGAAGTAGGAAAAGGAAGAATTTTCTGTGGACTGGGTGTTGTTTGTCTTGTAGATTCAAAGCTCCCCCTCAAACATGGACAAAGTCAGAGGACACACTGGTATCAGGATGCAGGTCCCTGACTTGCTTGAGACAGGGTCTCTTTGTTACTTCACAGAAGTAGCAAGCTGATTTACAAGCCTCCAGGGACTGTCTCTGCCTCCCATCTCCCCTAAGTAAGGAACACGGTATTACAGACACATCACCATGACTGGGGGTATGGGGACTCTGGTCCTCAAGTTCAAATGTCCAGGCTGGTCGCCAACTCAACCATCCCTCTACTGAAGCCTCCCGTGTGTAGGACTACAGACATGTGTAATCACCTTTACCTACAAAAACTATTTTTGTCACAGGTCTCCTCCCTGCACCAGGGAAGGCATTAACGCTGAGGAGTGCAGTCCCTTAGTACAGCGGAAACACTATTATAAAAACAGATTTTAGGCAATGTTTATTAACACATATTCACTTTTAGTACAAACTTACTTTATTTTTTTTTTTATAAAAAGTATCTTTACTCGGTGATTTTAGGCAAACATAATAAACTGTATACTTTTGTAACTTGGGGTGTTTTGCAAGAACAGTGGGGCAAAGCTGTGTCATAGTCTCTTTAGGGCTCGGGAAGCTATGTCTCTAGAGTAATTTAAAGCCAGCTGAACATCAATACCTTTTAAGTAGGGAAATGAGCCAGTACCTTAGTGGTGCCAATGTGCAACAAGAGTCCTAAGTAACTCTGAAGTTCTTCTCCCTGTATAGTTTTGCACTCACAAAAGCAATTTTCTGGGCATAAATAACAACCATATCCTTTGACTCATTAGCACACAGATATTAACACCATGCTAGGTGTTAACATCAGTCACCATGCTAGGGACTTGTGAACCATCTTTAAAGGTGTAATTTATTTTTTCAATAGAGACAAATGAAAAAGGTGTCTCCTACCATCACTGAGGACCTTTTCATATTGAATGCAGCCTCCAGGAAATGTTTAGCCCTGTCAAAGGCTACATAACCTTTTTTCAATGCCCACACTTTACTTTTTATGTTATATTCCCTCTCTGAGAACTGGTTTCCTCGGATAGATCGAGATAATAATTTCTCCCCATCAATATCATATCCTGGAAGGTTTTAGGCTCTCTAGATAATATGACAGACATATATAAAGCAAGTGAGATGTGTTTTTGGCTACTGAACTGATACACCATAATTTAAGTGTCAACGTCACAGTCCAAGTGTGACAGCTGTTAAGTCAAATCTATAGAAAGACATTTCAGCTGGGTTTTTGTTTGTTTGTTTGTTTGTTTGTTTAGTCAGCAGATAGTGGGAAAGTTGTCCTTAGGTGACCTGACTTTTCAATTTCTGGCT